CACTCACCCTCTTTCTTTCTCTCTCTTTATCCCTCATTCATCCTCTCTCTGTCTTCGTCTCTCTCACTCTGTTTCTCTCTCTCTCTCTAAACTAAACATATCTAAACTTAAGCCTAAATATATTAGGATGAATAGGAATTTAGGCAGCATTCCAGCAGCAGTACCTTTAAAAGAGCGTATCTGTGTGCAGAGCATGGATAGACCAATTAGCATTATGCAGATGAAATAATGGTGACTGGTACCTACTAAGTTCAATCCATTATTATGTTTGGTCAAGCTATTTCTTAAACCAGAATGGTAGAGTAAGCTTGTACACACTCGCCTGTGTATTGTTCCTGCTCTCCAAGCGATTATCAGTGACACATGTTTAATGTTATTTACCCAGTAAAGAGCCAGCGTGGGATTTGGCCAGTATGTTCTGTTGCAGTCGTTTCTGCACTGCCTGCCTCATTAGTTTTGTTCTTGTGGAATGAGTTTTTGTATTGTACACACCTTTTCTGCTTTCGCCCTCAGCATTTTGCTCATCTGCTGTTCTTTTAATGCTTGCAAAGCATGCAGGCTACCTGCTTTTTATTTGCTGCCATGGCACTCGAAGTCTTTGTGTGTGTGCGTTTGTGCCAGTAACTCTGCTGCCAGGCAGGAGTATACAGTGTGTTTACACCCAAGTGCAGGGTCATGTGAAGTGCTGGCTCAGCGTAATTTGAACGCTGGAGAGATCCGCGTCTCAGCAGAGTTAGTTTAAAACACCAGCAATGTAAAGCCACTTCCCAAAGGCCCATCTCTAGCTTCTCTCAAGTGCGTGTCAAGTGGGGTGACAGCTCAGATAGCTCCTTTTCAGTGAGCCACAGTGTGCTGAGCTGCCCCTCACTACACTGCTGTGTGCATAATGGAATTAGGGAAAAAAGAAAACCTGGATCCTACCCCCCTCAACACCCCCACCTCCCATTTCTCTCTCTTTCTCACTCACCCTCTCTCTCTCACACACACTCTGTCCGTCTTTATTTCCCTCTTGCTTTCTCACTCCCACCTTCACTTCTCCTCTCTCTCTGTCATGTTCTCTCTCTTTCTCTCTCTCATTCGGCCACTCTTTCATCCTCTCATTCATCATCGTTCTCTCTCTCTGTGTTTTCTTCTCTGTTTATATTTCTCTCTCTTGCTCACTCACAGTCTCTCTTTCTGCGCTCCCTCACTCTACCTCTCTCTCTGTTTCTCTTTTTCTTTCTGTCTCACCCTCTCTTTCTCATTTTTTGCCCTCTCTCTATCCTCTCTCCCTTTCTGTCCCTCTCTCTCTGTCACTCACTCTGACCCCATCACTGTCTGATTTTCCCTGTTTTTCTCTCACTATTCCTCTCATCTCGTTTTTCTTTTCTTTCATACTCTTTCCCACTCACTTTTTTCACCTTCTGTCTCTGTCCTCTCTCCATCTTTCTCTGTCTTTTCTGTCCCTCTTGCTCACTCCCCACCTATTCTCTTTCTCTCTCTCTGTTTCTACCTCCCTCTCTCTCTTGCTCACACACTCACTCCCTATTTCTGACTCATGCTCTTTCTCTGTTTAACTGTGCATCTTAGTCTCTCCTGTTCAAACACACACGCACACACGCACACCTTTTCTTAAACAAAACATTTGATCTTTTTAAAGGTGTTTGGTGAGCCTGTAGTGTAACCAGTGGTGAGTAATGCTGAATTTGTTTGACAGGGATGATTCTGATGTGTGACAGTCTGCGGTATCTGTTTTGGTTTGTTACCGTTTGATGGTCCAGCCGTGCAGTGGAGTGTTGTTTGCCTTAACTCTTTCAGAGTTTTTATTGGAATAAATGAGCTCCTCCAGCTCCTGCTTAACAAGCATGTGTGTGCAGAGGGAGCGCAACAGGAGAACAGGAATAGCTTTTTAGGCTCTGCACCTCCAGCTGCTCCTTACAGCACTGCCAGAGACTCCCTGTTAGGGCCATTTGTATTGTGGATCTGATGTGTGACTTTGGAAATAAGCTTATTCGAAAGGTCTGAAAGCGCTGCAGTGCAGGCGTGCTAATGATCCAGAGAGCAGAGGCAGAGCTTTATGTAGACCCGGTTCAGCTGGCTCTTCGTAATGCTGCTTGTATTCGATACAAAATCATTACAGTATTTGATACAAAATCATTTCACTGAGGGCAGATGTCAACTGCCCTCATGATGGACTGTTTGATATTTGAGATGTGATGTCAATATTATATTGGCATTGGCGGATGCCTGCTTAAAATACTTTTTTACCACATCTTTAATCCTTTAACCCAGTAATGGAAAGAGAAAAGGCAAATATTTTAATATACTCTACTCCTTTAATGTTGTAATTTCCCAATGTTGTTGTCACATTTATTTTGATAAAGAATGTGATCTAACAAAGCTGAAATCTTGTGTATTTTTGCTTTGTTTTTATCACCAGCAAATATACAAAAGGTAGCATCTTGCTTCTTTTAAATAGTGATAGAAAACATGGTAGCACACAGCAAGCTCCAGCTCCACCTCACATATTTTAGTGGACGTGTATGTGTTGCATCTGCTCTGAGCGCAGATTTTAATGTGCTAAAGGGGGCAAAGGCAAAGATTCTGAATGTAGAGTTGGCAAAATGTCAGGTAAGACAGCTTTAAACTCTTAAGAGACCAGAGTTTTTTTGGTTTCACAGCTACATTACTTACAATGTTAGTTTTGTCATAGCTACCAAATAAGTCATAGTAGTGACTGAAAAAAAAATGTAATAACTGAATAATCAGCCTAGGGTTCACGAGAAAAGAAGCATCAGCTTGAACACGGAGGGAGCAAAGGAGGAATGTGGAGCTGGAGCCTCTTGCTGGAAGATCCATGCTGGCTTATTTAATGATCGGTGCATATGTCAGCCTCACAGCTGCATCTGGAAGAATCACAGCCAGCTGAGGATGGAGCTGAATGCTTGGCTTTGCCAAAATCTGAATGTTTCCACTGCAGAGCTCCTTATACCTCATCATGGTTACACACCAACTCGTTACACACACAGCCAACATGAAGACATGTACCTTTTCCTGTGTCTCAATTCAGGCATTATATTTTGAGACTATACATGATGAACTTTGCTGTATAGAGAACTGTCATCAAATTAAAGATTACATTGCCCTAAATGGAAATAAATTGCCTCACAGTGTTTCACGTCATTGAATCACATATGAACAGCCTCCATTGAATACAGATAGGCCTGTCACAATTATTACATTATCACCTAATCACACTTATTTGAGCTGATCGGTGATGTTTTAGATGATTGCAATTATTTAAGATGACTGCAGTCATTTTCCACAGTGAGTATATCTCACAATCATATTATGTTACAACAAGCAGAATGTCAGTTGAGGCAAATAAATGTAAATAAAAGAAAGCAGTAAATGCATTTATTGAGACACATTTCTAACCTGGTGCTCTAACATGTTTACAGGGCAGCGTGAGTAATGTTTGTTTGTAAGTGTTTTTGCTTATATTTTCACTCTCAAGAACAAATGTAGTTTGCTTGACTACAAATGATTGTGTAACTGTAGACATTTGTTTAAATAAATATATCTGGGAATGAAGATAGCTAATTAGTTAATATAGCTACTTTAGGCTTGTTCTTTAATAGTTGCATACAACAAACAATCATTAATCGCAATTATTTATATGACAATAGTCAGCAAAAAGTTCATGATCGTGACAGATTATATATTATTTAGCAGTAAAAGGGGAACATTTAATTACCATTTTCAATCTAATATTGGAATTACAGCCAATAATATTCTGCCCCATTATTGCTTGTGCATGGACTAATGCACATATACTCACCCTTGTTCTCAAACTTACTGAAATGGAACATAGTGGTTAACCCCAATCCCCACACTCTGCAGACTGTAGGTTTGATTCCTTGTACAGGGATAAAAGCTACTGCTTTATCAACAAGAGTTCTTGGGCAAGGCTTCTAGAGCTACATTGTACCTCTGGATATACGTCTGCTAAATACCTAAATGTTTACAATAATTCTCATGTCTGATTTAGGCTAGCTGTCCTATGTAAAATTAATTATCCATCATTACAGTTTTAATCTGTTTTATGCTTACTGCATTACATATGGATTATATTGTGAACTTGCTTCAAAATCCCAAAAATGTAAAAATATCTGTGATCATTATCTGCCCAGAAATTCCATGTTAACAGTAATCTACGGCATGTTGCATTTCCCAGTTGCACTTAAAGTGGCTAGTGCACAATGGAAGTACTCGATGTGAGACACAGCAGGCCTCTCTGCAGGGGAGTTTACATGAACCTCGGGAGGAGAGAGTGCCAAGTTCAGTAAGCAAAGGCTGAGCTCTCTCACTGTGCTGACCTTTGGACACCACTGTCCAGTGAGAGACAGAAATCTCAAGTAGGTCTGAAATGAGCTCTGCTGGAAACATCTCAGCAGGAACTTATGAAGCCATGATGTGGGGTAAAAAATAGTTTCTCAGGCCATACAAGACAATTGCTATCACATACTTCACACAAGTGATCACTGGCTCTTGCACCTCCAGTGATGTTTGTTTTGTCAGTTTGGTTGCACAATATGTCCTCTACTGCCCTACATGTATTGATTTTACACTATGATGGATATGGTCTGGTGTAAAGAATGGGCCTTAACTTGTACGATGTCATGCATTTCTTATTACATTATCTCAAATAATAAGATTTCACCATAACAATTTTGATTTTTGAGTTTACTCACCAGTTTTTTTATCTCCTATGTTATGCTTTTAAAGAAGCCTCTCATCTATGAATAAATTCCGGCTTTAGGCTATTATATGTGACATTTTCAGGGAGGATCTTAGGGCTCCAGAAGTAGGTAGAGTGTAGAGGTGTGCCAAAATCTTCTCACAGCCCACAATGGATGCTCTCAGTGGGGCAGGGTAGGTTTATTTTTCAAGCGCTGGGGTTTGTGGCGGGGCTTTTGTTGATGAATGGGACTAACAGCAGATTAACCTTTGCCTTGCAGGCAGACAAGGGAGCAAGAGACGCCTCCAGACTTCTTCTACTTCTCCGATTTCGAGCGGCACAATGCAGAGATCGCTGCCTATCATCTCGACAGGTAAATGCCTCTCACTTGCTGCCATAAATGTCAGTCACTGGGATGAATCAAACTCTGTATATATGTATGGTTGTGTGTTTGTTACAGCTGCACAGTTTATATTTTTTTGTTAACCCCTAAAGCTCTAATGGCCTGCCTGTGATTCCATACTTCAGTTTCTCACTCTCATAACTATATTTAGCGCATTGCCTTCATAATGGTTACTGAATAATTCATAGTAGTCAGTGAGTGAGTCTTAAGGGTATTCATCAGTAAAGTCCTTTCACCAAGGGTGATATATTCATGCGATCATCAGTGATTGAATTCAAACACAAACTTAACTGCTGATATCTGACACTCCAAACTTGATTTTTCAGACAATGAAAGTGACACTTTTTTATTCATTCTCTGTTCAATTTTTGTGAACTTTGACATTGGTGGAACCCGTTCTACCAATCACTGATGTCATTGTGGTTGGCATAGCAACAACCAAGATGACCAATCAGTGTCCCAGGACATAGAACTTTGAACCTAGAACTAGAACCTAGAAGTTTATCTACTGCATCATGCTGTATTTCCAAAAGCAGCTCACACTAGGTTATGGCCATTAGGGGTGGGAATCTCTAGGCACCTCACGATTCGATTCGATTACGATTCAGAGGGCTGCGATGCATCTACGATTATCGATGCATCTTGATGCATGTTTTTTTTCTACACAGGATTTCTTTTTTCTCACTGTGTGAGGACTTGGTACTTTTAAAGCGAAGTATCTTTAATGATCCCTAATGAATTTACTTCCAATATCTTTTATTAATAAAACAAATGGAAGTGATGTGGCAAGTGAACTGGAAGGCTCTCAATCACTGCTCTTGTTTGACGCTGTATGTCGGCTCCAAAGTGTGCAACATAGCACTGGTTCTCAAAGACTGAGTACAGACGCAAATCCTTGGCAATTAAAGGTTGCGATAGAGTGTGTAGTTCGCTTCCAATTTTGGTCGAAGCTTTGACATTGCTTGATCTATGGTCCTCTGGTTGGCAGCAAGTATATGTAGTATAGTATATTAAAAATATTATAGTTTAGTGTGACACAACTTGCATATAGTATGGCTCTTATCCAGGTCCCTTGTCCCTTGGCATGCAGACTGCAGGTAACATAGCAACGCAGACAGTCTCACTTAGCTAGCTAGTAGCTAACGAAAAGGCAAAGAGAGAGATTTAAGACGAACTTTTGGAGACGAATGGACTTATTCGCATTTATAAGCACCGCAGTTGGTTTCCTGGTACTTTCAATCTGCAATGAGAGACTGTCAAACACTAAAAAGTTGTAAAGCTGAAGTCAGCTTCTCTTTCGCATTTACATTCTGGCGCGTCAGGCAGAATTTAAGGTGGAATGGGAAAATTCGAACAAAAAGGTGGCGATTGAGAAGCTGACTTCAGCCTCGTAAAACAGTCGAACATTGAGAGACGTATACTGAGACATATTGGACATAAAATGTTGTGGCTCCCAAGGTGGTTTGATTTTTGTTGAAAGGACAAAATGGCTCTTCTTAACCTTTGGGTTGTCGACTCCTGACCTAACCTAGCTTTTAATGCAGAGGGTGCCGATCGGATTTCTCACTCATCCAGTTGTGTTTTTATTATGTGCACGTCACAGAGTGTCCGGGTGCTGCACTTCCACACTTCCAAGTTTCGCCTTTTGCATTCCGTCAACATTACGTTATAAATTAAAATTTTGGAAATCAATTTTTGACATTTGTGAATCAATTCAGAATCGTCCACGTCTGCATCGCGATGCATCTAAGAATCGACCCCCCCCCCACCCCATCCAAGCTAATAAGGGCTAATAAAGTTCCAGCTCCTGGATGAAGCATCTAAACTCTCTGTGCTCCTTTTGCTTTTCCAAAATGTCAGGCAGCCTGCTCGATGGCCCTTTTTTGTGAGAAGCAAATTACCTCTTTGTGGCTTAAAGACATTCTGCCAGTTCATTAGCTTCTTTTATGGCATGAACAACACGACAGAATTCCAAAATAAATTGTGCTGCATCTGTGTACATAGATTCAATGTAGAAAAAAAAGCTTCTGAATATTTCACATTTTCAGTGTTTTTCATGTTCAGCATGTAAACAGTCTTAATTCTACAAAAGCGAAAATAAGTTCATTTTGAAGGAATGCACAATGATATTGGAATTATATTGGTATTGGCAGATACTTGATTAAAACAAACAGCAGTATCTGACAGGTGTTTAGATTTGACCAGTGTTTTCTGATGGTAACGTATTTATTGTACTCGGGAACAGCAGAAGGATTATCCAGTGCTGTGCTAAAACATCCACATTGGTAATTTTCCAAAAATACGTGTTACATCTACATCCCACACTACATTTTATGAATGTTCATGTATCATCAGTAGATATGTACATATATGTATGGCTAGGATTTGTTTGCAGAAGGAGTTTTTTAATGTGCATTCTGAACTTAAGTTCACATCTAGTTTTTTGAGAGTTTGAACATTTGATGTTTGACTGTAAAATTGTGTCTGTGTCTGAAAGAGTAAGCTGACTGAAGCCCTGAGTATAATGCTAATAAAACACCTGATCTACACAGGGAATGGCATCTCACTGTAAAAGAATGCTGACGCCCATTGCTATCACTCACTTAAGTCACTCCAAAACTCCACAACTGTCTGTGATGTTTTCAGTATTAAGTGTGTCCACCCTTTGCCTTTATTACAGCTTCCATTCTTTTTTAGTTTTTCAAAGAAATCTGCAGGGTCAAAGTTCAGTCTTAGAAGTTGGTTGCATTTTCTACTTCTCATGATCCAAGTAACCCAAAACACATTCAGGTCTGTACTTTGTTAAGTTTTAGTGTTTTAGTGCAAATTGAGTTGTCGTCTCTCAGTGGATAGACACAGATGGACACCGAATTTTTTTCAGATCTGAAGCAAGAGTGGAGCTTGATTTTCCCTCAAAGATGAAAGCTTTAAGTAATTTTTATTTGATGGTCTTACCAGGTCGGTTGATAGGAGTTCCATTTTCTCTGTATTTCTAATAATTTTTTGATGAGTAGTAATGAAAACTCCTGTTTTTTCACTTATTTTCCTTACCTTAAACACTTTCCCCTACTGTTCGCTTACATCTAATCTCCTAAGAAATATCTTTATTAGCCATTTTACATGCATGGTGTGTTTGGGGTTTGTTTCTTGTGTGAATGTTAGTGTCTTTCTGAATAGCAACAATGTCAGTGACTCCTTTGAGAACAGCATTTGTTAGGAAGACACATCTGTAACTCATTGGTTTTAAGACTGGAAGAGTTAAATTGGCAATAGCATGCATAAAGGTAAAGAGCAGACAAATTAAATACTGATAGATTTTATATTATACTTAGGATAATATAAGGAAGTTAAGTTTAATATAAGTTGGAGGCTTACGTGTAATTGTTTGTTATGTATATGCTTCCTGCTTTTTATGGTCATTTTGACTGAAATGAATAAAGGAAAGGGCTGTCTCTGACTTCTGCACAGTACTGTAGACTTGCTTATGTGGTTTTGGGCACCGTATGACTATACAGCTGGTGAAATACAGCTAAAAACAATAGTAGCAGCCATCCTGAAATCTGAATAATGTCTGTGCAGGCAAACTTCAAAGCAAACTTAAAACCCATTGACGAGGATAAAACAGATCTTGGCTGATTAACTGCTTTGGGGTGAGGGGAATACTGTAAATGTAATTTCTGGCCAGACTCTCACTTTAAATCCAGGACTGCTTCTATGTAGATTTGGGCTCATTGTGACTGTACTGCTCTTGTGCAAAGTAATCATTGACAGGCCCGGCTGAGCCCTGCCCAACCTGCCTATGCTCAGTGCTCACATCTGGCCCTCAGCAGAATCCACTCTGTGCACACAGGCATGTGTGTGTGGGAAGAGAGAGGAAACCAACAGCATGAAAAAGCCGCCTGCCTTCTAAATATAAGTTTGTCTGGGTTAGCCAAAAGTGCTGGTTTTCATTTCAGTTCAAGGGTGAAAGCAGCATGGCTGACCATCCCTCACGCTGCACACCAGCCTGCAGCCACTGCCTCCAGCAACATATCATTAATTATCTGATTTTAGACAGTGGGGAACGCTCATTGTAATGTGGCCTTGGCTGGTGGAGAGGGCAGCAGATGAGAGAACAATCCAGAGTGGAGTTTTAAAGGTGGACACTGTCAGATTCTCTTAGTTTTTCCACTGTGTTGCATAGTCAGAGAGTAGAGAACAGTTTCCTCCTTCTGTCTTCTCTGTCAATATGACTGAGCAATTAGTAGCTTCAAGTGCTTTCATCCCTTAGGCCTGGTCCATTAGGTGTTTTCCAAGATTAATTTTTAAAGTCGCACTGTCAGCAGAGCGCTTGCGAAGGAGGGCCAACGCATGCATAAAATGAGCACAGAGCACGCACAATGAATGCCTATTACAACACGAATGACTGGAGGCATTCCCCAGACGGGCCTAGAAGCTCAGAGAGATTTTCTAAAAAAAAAATCCAGGCAAAAAATACTGGAATGCTGCTCAATATATCATTTGTTAATCATTGTTTCAATATTGGCTTTTGTTATAGTGATATCACCAAGGCTTGCAATACGTAACAAATGCAATACATGCACTTGTGCATCCAACAAACACGGAGTGTTGTTCAAAATAATGCAGGCCTGTCTTTAACCATGTCACAACAACGGTTCACCAATTGTTTATAATACATTGCAAAACAATTTGCAATCACAGTATGCAGTATTACAATTGCAAAAATTATCCCTGTCATTTAAATTGATCCTGTTTTGGATTCAACATTGGGGGCTAAGTTTCAAGTTTGCCTAGGAAAGCTGAGATTTTGAGCTGGCTTCTTAAGCTGGATAAAAACTGAAAACGCACAAAGCGTTCCATCATAGGCCTAGTTTTTTTTCTGGTGAGGAGGCGTTTTCTTCATTTTGTTAACATTTTTGTTAACTTCATTTTGTTAACAACATCTCCATCGGCTTGTGCCCTTAACAGGCCTGAGTTTTTCATAGGCCAGGTACAGAGGAGATTCAACAACATGCTTAGAGCACCCTCTACTGGCAGTATCAAGTAGCAAACTTAGAATACCTTTTCGTGTAACAGACAGTTCTGTCATGTAATAGATTAGTTATTTCTAACCAATAATCATCTCTGAACATCTGGAATAAAGCACCTGCAAATTTTGCATAATGGTTTAGCGCAATTCATCACTATGTAGTGAGTAATCTGCCTTACTGTTGTATTGCTGCATATAAAATCTGCAAGCACTTTTCTATTCTCTCTATCTGTAACAGAATTTTGGATTTCCGACGTGTCCCCCCAGTGGCTGGCAGGTTGGTGAATATGACCAAAGAGATCAGAGATGTGACCAGAGACAAAAAGCTGTGGAAAACCTTCTTCATCTCCCCAGGTACTGAGCCAAGACTGCAGGGAATAGGCTGTGTTTGTTGGCTTTATCTCATTTATATCAACTCATCTCATATAGATATTCTAGGCCAAAAATAAAATAACCAGATACCAATGCCCAGTAACTGCTCATTTAACTTTTTTGCATTTGATAAAAAGTACAGTGCTGTGAAAAAATATTTGCCCCTCACCTGATTTCTTCTATTGTTACTAATGTGTCACATTTAAATGTATCGAATCATCCAACGTATTTTAATATAAGATAAAAACAACACAAGTAAACACAAAAGGCAGCTTTTAAACAATTGTTCCACTTATTAAAGGTAAAGATTTCTTCAAAAACTGTAACACCCATATAAAATAGTAATTGCCCCCCTAATGCTAATAACTGGTTGTGCCACCCTTGGCAGTAACAACTGCACTCAAACGTCTGCAATAACTTGCGATGAGTCTTTTACATTGCTGTTTTTTCGAGCATGAACTGCCCATTTAAGTTCTTGCAACAGGATCACAAAGAGATTCAAGTCAGGACTTTGCCAAGGCACTCCAAGTCACCAAGGCACTCTTGGTGAAATTTTGATACGTTGGCCACTCCTGGGAGAGTTCACCACTGTTCCAGATTTTGAAACGTGGCATTATGTGCTGCTTTTTGAGATCTTCTAGCCTGCTGCTTATTCCCAGACAGGTTTTATTTGAGTGATGTTTAGATTCAACAGGTCTAGCAGTATTCATGCCTGGGTGTGGAAAGTGAAATCGAACCCAGTAGTCAATTGAATTTGGTTAACTGGTTGATTTAGTAGCTAAGGGGGCATTTACTTTTTCACATGGGACCAGGTAGGGCTAAACAGCATTTTTCTTTTAATAAATGAAATCATCTTTCAAAAACAGCATTTTGTGTTTACTTAGGTTATCTTTGTCTAATATTAAAAGCAGTTTGATGATCTGAAACATTCAAGTGTGACAAATATGCAAAAAATAGAAATTTACTAAATTTATTTAAAAATACTTTTTCACAGCACTATATATTATAATTCATATGTAAGTGCAGTGCGCAGAAGTTGTAAAGTTAACACTCTTAACATGTTAGCTACTAAAGCTAAATGCTCTAGGCTGTAAAGATCGCTGGAAATCAAAAGAGTAAAAATAGATTATTTCCTGTCTCCTCAGGTGAACATTTGTTTCAAACTGCAATTCTGTTCTCTTCTGCTGAATCCATTTCACACATTACAGTTTACATACACACGCATATGTGAGCAAAAATTGAACGTAAAGCTATTGGTTGTAATTATCAGCTTTAATTTCAACACGAGACCAATAATAAGTTATCAGTACTCCTCGTTTTAATGCATTCAGTGTTACCAGCCCAACTTGCAATTGCAAATCTTACTTTCTCTTTGGTCTCATTTAATAAAACACTGATTTATTGTAATCTCTAAAAGCCATCCGTAGCATGTATAACTTCTACTCTCTGTCTGTTCAGTGAAACACTACCTGATTTTTTGGCTTTGGATTTTCAGACTGAAGCTCATCCCATCACTAAATTATGATAAATCAGCACAGGCGGAAAATAGACAGGCAAACGAATATCAGCATTACAACTACCACTCTCTTATTTCAGGCATTACTAAATGGAACTTACCATAACACTCACTAAAGAAACCTTATGGTCCACCTCCTCAAGTGAACACCAGGTGGCACTGTTGATTTTGGATTCTGACACTTGTGTGCCAGTGATTTGTTTAAACTAATCAGCACTATATCAGCACGCCTGCTTTAGCTAACCCAGCTAAACCCATTTTAACAAAATGTGCTCTAAGAACACTATATATTTAATTACTAATCGGCTGTGTATCTTTTCTCTTCTACAGCCAACAATATCTGTTTCTATGGTGAGTGCTCGTACTACTGCTCCACTGAGCACGCTCTGTGTGGGAAGCCTGACCAGATCGAAGGTTCTCTGGCAGCGTTCCTGCCTGACCTCGCCCTGGCCAAGCGCAAGACCTGGAGGAACCCCTGGAGACGCTCCTACCACAAGCGCAAAAAAGCAGAGTAAAAACCACTCACATCTACATCTCTTTTGTACTTACATTCAGATGAAACTAGACCATGGTTTCCCAGCTTGAAATTTCTAACTAAACTGGAATATAGCCTGAGAACATGTGCCCAAGTCTTACCTGACCTGACCCACAGGAAACACAAGTATTGAATTCATACCTGACTGTAGCCAAAACTCTGTCTAAAACTGACCACCAGCAAATGGAGATGCAAAAGTGACATATCTAATGAAAGGACCTTATGTTACCATTTAGCGACAATGACAGCTGTTATCAGATCACTCTTAAAAAGTGTTGCATGATAAATCATATTTTTAGCATTAGCATTTAGCATTTTTAGCATTATTGTGTTTTATATTATTGAGTTTCCGCGATAAACCCTCAGTAAGGCTGCAAAGACAGAATGGATAACATTACTTCACACATGTAAGACCAGAGTGACATAGTGACATTAGCAGGAACATAGCTTAGGACCAACAAGTGCTTCTCTGTACTGGGCCTGAACCCTCCTGTCCTGTGCGGAGAGCATATAACTAAACAGCCATTACACGTGCAGAACTTGAAAACTACTCTATCCTGAATTCTGTACTTGTGGCATATACAGTCAGAAGTGCCTATTTTAATCATAATTTATTGCATTTCCTACCTTCATAATGGAGTTTATTTTGTGCAAAAAGTTTAAAATAAAATAAAAAAATTTTGCTCGTGGATTTTATTATTTTATTTGAAACTTTTGGCACAAAATTCACTCCATACGTCATCATTATATCCAACAGATATCTATCAGATATCATATTTTATGTCCATATTGTGCAGCCACAGAGATAATAAAACAATTATTAGTCTAATTAGCACAAATTTAAAATGAAGTTTAAATTACATTTATTTGTCAATATCCCAGATATTTTTTAGTCTGGATAAGCCTTACTTACTTTATACGTACTTCTGTTGTTATATCATATTGTTCTAATGAGGCCTCTGTGCCAAGTTTAGGGTAATTTAAACTGGAAGGAAGAATAAAGTACTGAAAAAAATGCACCACTCATACATCTATAAAGTTTAAATTTCCCTTTCCTGTATTTTTGGTGGCATGTAAAGGATGAGAAACCACTGTTTCCCACACCCTTCTGTTTGTACACTGCTGCAGAGCAGGCTGCTATAAGGAGCAGCCAGTGCGATAGGAAGCACTCTCACCCTGTTAATAGGAGAAAATTCATGATATTATATTTATTCTGAACTAAACATGCACTCTTACTTCTAACTGGTTTGATAGTCCATAGCCCCATTTCAGTTCTTTTTCAAACTTACCCTCGCCCACTTTGAGCATATGTGGGAAATGAAGAGTGCAAGTTGACGAGGGCGTGTTAAAAACAGTATTGAAACGGAGCACAAGGGCCATGGTTACAGTGATTTAGTGCACTGGGCCTCATCTAAGATTAAAGAGCCGCAGATGTTTTCTATTTGTGAGAGAGGATTTTTTGATGCATGTAGGAGTAATATTTACATGTGTTGTGTGCTCTCAGGTGGGAGGTGGATCCAGATTACTGTGAGGAGGTGAAGCAAAGTCCTCCATACGACAGTGGCACGCGTCTACTGGACATTATGGATATGACCATCTTTGACTTCCTCATGGGTAATGATCATACATATTTTGCGTGTTAGGGCTGCACGATAAGGACAGAACATAAGTCTTGCAAATATGATATAGTTACATACTGCGAATGTGATATTCCTTACATTAATTTATGTAGGGATGCACCAATACGACCTCTTCCGATACAATACTGATACCTGATAAGTATCTGCCGATACTGCGTACCGATATGAATACTAACTCTAACATAAGTAGCCTCTAAATGAAATTTCCATTTTTTAAATATAGCAGTATTATATATATCAACTTCTAACAATTTTATGTAACAAAATTTCTCTGTTGCCAATACAGATACTGTGTTTAGGTGCCAGAATTAGTGCCGATACAGTACTGGTAACAGTGTATCCCTCAATATATGTTGTGTATTAGAAACACATTAGTGAATCAGTAATGTAACCAAAATAATTTACTTTTGACTGCATGGACTACATTTCAATTCACCCAGACATCAATAGAAACACCATCTGAAACTGTGATTAGTCAGGATACAGTAAAAAATTCTGTGTTTGATTATAGGATTTGTTTGCATATTGCAAAGGCCAATATCATGATATCGATTTAAAAACAATATATTGTGCAGCCCTACTGTGTATAACTGGATTCATCTTCCTGTGGTTCCTTGGTGACATTATAGGTTACAGTTTACTTTTTTCTCACAGGTAACATGGACCGGCATCACTATGAGACATTTGAGAAGTTTGGAAATGAAACCTTCATTATTCATCTGGACAACGGAAGAGGGTGAGGCAAATGTCTTTCTGTGATTTGATATAAACTGTTTTTCATTTGGTTCAGAGGTAAACACATTTTATATGATATTTATATATGTTTTATACAATATATTCAGGACCATCTACTAAGCTTGAGTTTTCTCTCTTAATTCTAGATTTGGCAAACATTCCCACGATGAAGTTTCAATTCTGGCACCTCTGAGTCAGTGTTGCAGGTTAGTCTGCTCTACATTTGGGGAACAGTGTACGAATATATCATTTGATTGCTAAAACTTTTCAGATTATATTGATTTAGGCATGAGACTACAAGTGTAAGATTCAGACATTTTAAGGGTACAAGATTTGGGATTAAGGGTATGAAATTTGGACATTTCCAGGGTGTCCCTTTGTCACAATAGTTCAAGTACACTAGGACTTTTGTTGTTTGAAAATTTCCACAATGCATTATAAAAACGTGGGTACCTTGGGTATGTTAATGGTGCTATATGACTGGAACAAACAAATAAATAAATAAACTTACCAACAGTGAAAGCTTTCCTTTAAGCAACACACATTTAGTCGTCATTATCACTTTTTGCTATTAGGCGAAATATTCACAGCAAGCTGACAGCTAACCTGTTGACAGCTGACAGGTAACAGGCTTCTTCCAGAACATTCAGAAAGGCAAGTTTAAATTGTTACTGAATCACTGTAAAACAGCAGCATACAACGTAAAAATATGTTGTCTGAAAGTCTTCAAATGAGAAGTGGCTATCAAGTGTTCGAATGCACCACCGTTGGTGCTTAAATAATATAAGCAGTGCTAGCACAAATGTTGTTCGTAAACAGATAAACAGAAATCACTTACAATACCTTTATTCTGACATTCTTTTGTTGCATTATGTATTAAAATGTCTAGCTTCTCCAAGCAGCATGTTAAAGGTATTCTCCACTATTTTCAGCCTAATCCCTAGTCAGCCATATCTGTAGGGAATAGATGAAATTACATTTCCCTGTACTGAATAGAAGAAAAAACCCACTGACATGAACCACTTATACTAAAGGGTATTAGGCAGTTGCTAAATTACTGTCAGTAAACATCTACGCAAAAACAATTTAGTATAAATATTTTTGTTTGTGTCATGTTTTATAAATTTTTGGAACACTTTCATGAATTCTTCAGTCAAATGTATTTGTAAATTAGGCTGTCAGTTTTTCCAACTCATTCTTTCAAAGATGGGATTAATTTTCCAGGGGAAAGAAGTTCTGGAAATATGTTACAAGTGGTGTGGGCAGAAAAATTCTGAAGTATTCCTTTAGGGCAATTATAAATTTAGAAAACAGATCCAAAGTCACCATTAATAAGTACAGATACAAAGTTTTAATAAAGATTTTTCAGTTGGGTCATTTTCATCATGAGGGACTTTAATTTTGAATATTCATAGTAAAACAGCCTTACTTTGATCCACTTGGTTTTTACAGAGTGAAGAAGTCCACCCACTTGCGGCTGCAGCTGCTGGCTAAAGAGGAGTATAAACTAAGTGCTCTGATGGAGGAGTCTCTCCAGAGGGACTTACTCGCCCCCATCCTCATCCATCCACACCTGGAGGCCATGGACCGCCGCTTGCGCCTGGTGCTGCAGGTCCTAGCTGACTGCATTGAGAAGGAGGGCTATAGCAGTGTGGTGGAGGACGACCTGGCCTCAGAAGGCATGGACGTGGCCTCGGACACAAGGAGGTAGTAGCCCTGGTGATAGTAGGCCACCCCTAGGGGTCCTTCCAAGTCCCACCGCAGCTGAATACACCATGAACGTCTTGCAAGAGAAACTCTTGATGACTTTTTCTGAATTCAGTGAATTCCAAAGACTCTACCAGTGGACCATGTTTGTAGAGCCGAACACGTACATGAATGGGCGACATGGACATATATATCGCTGTCTGAATATGTGGACTTGCGTGTCTTAATATCATAGGAGCTCTTTTTGTCTTTGCTCTTTAAAGGCTAAAGCATAGCGAGCCAACATTCTTCAACAAATACCAACAAAAGCAAAGTCTTGGGTTGGTGTTTCATACCTTTATGTGATAGCTGAGAGATTCTAGAACATTCTTCCTCTATTCACACTGTTCTAGAATGTTCTCTCCCATTCTAGAATTAATCTAGAATCCATTCACACTAGTTTGAAACATTTGGTTTGAGACATTGGCTTGTCAGTCTGATTCTGGAAAAGTATAAAGCCAACTGCCAACATTAGAATGCTGGTGTTTGATGGAGAACATTGGTTCAGTGTGCCATGGTCTTATGGCACAGATGGCAGTGGAACTGTGCATTTAACATATATTTCCTTTTTAAGACAAACAGCTTTGAGTGGAGTGCAGGTTAGCTCCAACATGTGTACGTCACCAACAACCCTGAAATTATTTATTTGAGTTCTGTATTTATTTTGATTAAAGTGGTTTACCAAACTTCTCACATGAGTACGGACAGCACAGAAATGGATTCAAAGCAAAAAATTTAAACGAGTTGCGGTATTTGTGATAGCATTTAGAAAAGTGAAAGTTTGTGTATTAAAAACATTCCTGTTATATTGGAATCATATAGGATTTCATTTGTAATAATATCAGTAAATCACATTAATGCAATCTCTAATTTAATCACGAACAATTTTGAGAAGTGGCCTAAAATTGTGAATATTTGGTATATTTATTCATAGAACAGCCTGACTTAAGATACAGCACATGCAGTAAATGAATAACCCCAAAAAACATTAGTAAATACTTGAATGGACCACCTTTCTTTGCCTTCAAAACTTTAGGTTTGAGCTTATGTAAATGACAGTCACATTTTTGGTAATAATGTTGTACCCACACTTGTACCCATGTTCACCAAATCTTCTCCAATTTTCTTTGTTTTGTCTGACCTAGGAAAATTTAAATTCACATTTTCGTAGAATGTGGAGCATTTTTCGCCCCATTGTGCATCGCAGATATATAAGCTGCTGTTTCAGAATTTCCAAAACGTAAGATTTTGGTCCTAATCACACAGACAAAGAATAACTTCAGGGTTATGTATGGCTGTGATGCCGTATTATAACTGGTTAGGCGCTCTCTCATTAGGTGCTATTGATGTAAGCATGCACCAGGCAATCAGCAAACCTGTTTGGTCACAATGGAATTAAAGAAACATTGTTTCTCTGAAAATTGTTTCTCCTAAAATTGCGTTTTTACTAACTGCTTATTTGCAAAGATCATTTAGTCAATTTACATACTTTTTATCACATTTCCAGTACAGCTTTAATATTATGTATATACATTCACATTAACTTGATTTCACACGGTCGATGTACCTATTTTTATTTCCAAGGGAGGAGTGAATTTGAGCGCTAATGTACAAAGCTAGCAAGAGTTTAAACTGCACTAGAGCATATTTCAGCAACTGCTGAGAAAGGCCTGTAAATACTATGTGAATCCGTTGCCTGTGCAATTATAGAAATACTTGAATGTTTGGGTTCTGAATAAAGGGGTTAAGGAACCAAGAGATGGAATTTCATTACCCAGTTAAGGTAACGTGCTACATTCTCTATATATTGTTTTACAGTTTTCATATTGAGTTCATTCAGACTTTAGAGATGTTCCGCATACATGCTTTTTTCTTGTACTGTTTCAGTGGAGGGTTTCTTTTTCTTGTCCAAGTGCAATAAACTGAACATTGCAGCACATCATTGTTCTTGTGTACTGTGATATACTGTAACTGGCCTGGTTTTAGTAAGATACGATCAGAAATGCCTTCACTGTAATGTTGTTGCATTTTAAAAACAAAAACAACAGAAAAGCAAATCGTTGTAGTTTACCAAGCAGCTAAAAATAAACTAAGACAGTTGTATTTAAATGGGTCGTGATCTTCTGGGAGCCTGTAATCAGATGGTGCTCTTAAGTAAGATTAAGTTATTAAGTAAGTTTTAAGTGATAAGTCAAATTATCTCACTGTATTAGCAGATAATTTGGCTTGTTTTAAGACATGCTTTAAAGAAGCCAAATTATCCACCAATATAATGAGAAAATCAGACACACCAGAATCATTTAAAACAAGTAAAAATGTCTAGAGATAATAAGGCAACAACCATTTCAAAATTAGAAATGTCAGATATATTGACTCCATTTAAGATAATCTCACTTGCCAAGATATCATTTGTGCAATGCAGTATGTGATGTAATCCCATTACATTTGAAGAGATGTAATTAGTAACTTACAGATTACTTTGTTTGAGTAACTACCCCAACACTGAAGGTGGCTATTCTAACATTAAGCCCAGCATTATGTACTGCTGAGCCTGGGCAGCACTCTGTTCTGACTAAAAAGAAAGAAATTGGTTTCCATGGCCAAGCAGCTACACAAAAGCCTAGGATCAAAATGCACAGTGCCAAGCATCGGGGGGCTTGCACGCCACCACTGGACTGTGGAGCAGTGGAGCAGTGGAAGCGTGTTCTGTGCAGTGACGAATCACGCTTCTCTATCTGGTAGTCTGATGGACGAGTCTGGGTTTGGCAAATGCCAGGAGAACGTTACCTGCCTTACTGAACTGTGCCAACTGTAAGGTTTGTTGGAGGAGGGATAATGCTATGGGGTTGTTTTTCAGGAGTTGGTCTAGACCCCTTACTTCCATTGAAGAGAACTCTTAATGCTTCAGCATACCAAGACATTTTGGAAACTGTATGCTTCCAACTTTGTGGGGAAGGCCCATTCTGTGCGCAAAACAAGGTCCATAAAGTCATGGTTGGGTGAGTCGGGTGGAAGAACTTGACTGGCCCGCACAGAGCCCTGACCTCAACCCCATCGAAAACCTTTGAGATGAACTAGAATGGAGATGCAACATCAACATCCAACATCATTGACTGACCTCACAGTTGCTCTTCTGGATGAATGGGCAAAACTTTCCACAGACACACTCCAAAATCTTGTCAAAAGCCTTTCCAGAGAAGCTGTTATAGTTGCAAAGGGGGGACCAACTCCATACTAATAGCCTATGGATTTAGAATGGGGTGTCATAAAAGCTGCTGTAAGTGTAACATGTAGGTGTCCTATTACTTTTGTCCATATAGTGTATTTCAGAATGGGTTATTTAAAACCAATACTTGCAATATATCTAACTTGTATTGTCATGAGGCCCTAGGCGGTACAAAGAACGCCTCTGGGCAACAGAACTATTCATTTTTCCCCACTGTGAAAAATAACAGGTTACACATCTAAGTATGAGCAATTGTTCATCCCATACGCAAAACAAAAAATAAATAAATACAGTAAGAAAAAGTTTGGACATTTGGAGCAAAATAAAGCAATGAGCCAGGTGAAGCAGCAGGTAGTCTCAGCCTCAGATACTCTGCCAACACGGAGCGTCGGGATAGGAAATGCATTCTAAGATGGCCACAACTATCTGGATTACATCAGCTGCGTTCTGATTGGCCATCCGAATGTCCAGGTATACGCACTTCCATGCTTCAGGATTAATCTGGCGGATGGGAAAGAAACTTTCGGAAGCAGCTGCTGTTGTCTGCGAGTCATGACGAGTCTTTTGGAGCAGGTTTTAGGCTGAATCTCAAATTGCTCCTTCCTGTCTATATATATTGCATTACGTGGATCTTATAATATCACCCCCCCACACACACACCCAAACAGTACATTATCTGTCTAACAAAGAGCCATTTGAGATTCAGCCATGTGTGCACAATTTACTACTGGATAAATAGTGCACTATTTGGATGTGGAAAACTAAATTTTATAACTAACATGGAGCACTATACAGGGAGTAGACAGCCACTTGAGATTTAACCTAGTTTCTGGATTTATTTTTGTATTTTTTTTAGAATTTAGTAAAACAGAATGAGATGAGTGCTGATGTGTTTTTGTTGTAGGCCTGTTTTGAAAATCTCTTGCCCTATAAGATTGTCATAAGATCTCCCCACTGTGAAAAATTAGCATTTAAACATTACAAACTATTTGCCAAAAAGTATTTAAATTTTTTAATATTAATTTTCAATGTTTCAATAATTCTATGAAAAAGAAGTTGATCATGATAAATGATATACTGTAATTATTTATTTACATTAATTGTTTTGTCAAGTTATCTGTCCTGAGATTTGATCTCTTCTAAAATATGAAGAATTTCTGGTTAGTAATGTTACAATAACTTTTGATGCTATACAGATATCTCAGTTATTTTAAAATCCTCTAGTTTTGAAACATCTAAAATATCTTGGAATTTTCGTTATGTGAAACCTGTGAAGTTGCACAGAACTAACATATTATCACTGTCCAAATAAAACCAGGAATCTCCAAAATGATAACTTTACAAGAGAGAGCAAAAACATTCTTTACTTTTAAAGAAAGGTAACATAAAGACATTTTATTCCAAGCAATTTTGGAGCATTTCTATTGGCCCATTCATCATGTGTTTTTCACATATTATAAAGGGCAGCTGTTATGTTCAAATGATATAGAAAAACCAAAACTGGCAAAAATGAAAATTATTTTGTTTTGACAGCGACAATATTAGAATCATTTTACACTCTTGTCTGTAACCAAATGGGATTTATTTTATTGAAAACAGTGATTCCAAACATTTGAACAGTAGTATGTCTCTGAGTCAAGTGTAGCTGTAGGCACAGCGGTAACCGTGGTGACAGTTGTTACCATTTAGTACAATTTCCACAGCTTATAGCTACAGCTAACTGATTCCAAGAGCGATCGTTTAGGCCCATGTGAATTTAGGTGAATTTGTTTAAAATCCTGTCGTGTTTTATTGTGATGACCTTCAAATGGCCTCCCATTCGCTGCAGGGAACATGCATGTGAGTGCAGACAAAGACGCAACAAGAGCTGTTCAGGGCCCAAGAGGAGGACGGAAACTGCACTGAGGCGGCAGTCTTGGGGGACAGGGAACGCTAATGGGCCTGCCGGAATGAGGGAAGGAGCAGACAGACCAGCAGAGGAAGGGGGAGTCATGGGAATGCACTGGGAGTCCGGCGGGACCCTTATCAGATCGCACTCCGCATGCACTCAGACCAGAGACAGCCACATGAGCTACACAGATTCTTACACTTCTTTAACACACTGTTCAGTGCCACATTTCAATCATATGCAAAAGAACTGAACAGCTTGAAGAGCTTTTGGTTCTTTTTCATAGACAGAGATAGAAGTAAGTGCTACAAAGACGAAAGCACTTTCTGAGTGGAAATATAGGCTGTTATTCAGCAGCTTTGCTCAGGCCGCACACTGAAAAAGTGACACACTGAATGTAACTGACCCAAATGTGTATATTTCCACATGAATTAAATATATAAGATATATTTCATTGTGAAATGAAACAAACTGAGAGACGGATTTGTGTTGATAACAGTAATGTGTATTTTATTCATGTAAAAATGATGTTCGCTTTTGAATGAAGTTAATCCTGTGTGTAACTTTTTCATTGTAAACTCTAAATTAAGAAGAAAAGACAAAGAAAGTTTAAACGTGTGAATGCCTGTGTGGCATGTATGCTAGGCAGGGCAGTAGCAGCATTATCTGGAAGATCAGAGGCCACACACACACACACACACACACACACACGTACATGCGCATACACACATCATGCCCCGCAGGCTGTTTGCTGCGCTCTCTGCAGCTGACAGTAGTCCACACATCCCCCTTTTAGTCACGGCAGCCCAATTTATGGCCATTATACAGCATTATAGATTACATCTACACAACTCAATTTGTTGCCGAAAGATATGTGATTGAGGGCACACAGACGCTGCGGAAGGCAGAAACGAAAACAACCTCAAAGAGTTAAGACTGATTCACCAAAAGCATGTTTGTTAATGTTTGATTCTTCATCCAGTGATTATTAAGCAGATTAAGCTATAAAAAGAAACATTACGAAGCAAAAACATCCCGCTCAGAGTGGGCCTGGACCACCCAGAATCAAAGAGTGAATGAGTGAGTGCTTTAGTGATCCCGCCCAGGGTTCAGGCGTGCACACACACACTGCCTGAGCCTTTTCCAGCCATTCCAGCATCAGAACAGCAGCAGCAGCAGCAGCAGCAGCAGAGGGGGTCTTCCACTCCACAACTCCACCAACACTTACTCTCGTTTTAGAACCGCACTTCACTTAATCAACAGCCATTTCTCTCAGTTCTGCTCAAAAGTGTCGTTCACACAGCAGCCATCCTGGACCTTCAGCCATGTTTGACAATTCGCAGTATCCCTATAACTGCTTTAATTATGATGGAGATGGTTACCCGTCCTGTGGCAGCGATGAAGGGAAGAAAGTGTGCCGACCAGCGTACAGGTAACTGTTTTTTTTTTTACTTCTTTATTTGTTTACGTCACTGTTTTTAAAATATATATTTAAAAAGTTTAAATATAATAATTCTAAAATGATAATATAGTAGTAATACTACTTCTAATGATAACATCATAATATTCATTATCATAACAAAAACATAACAAAACACACTAATAATAATGATAATAATGAGAATTATTATTATTATTATTATTATTATTATTGTTATTATCATCACACATGCTATTTTACACACCATGTATTATATTTATATAGTTGTATTTGTATATTAGTAATATTATTTAAAGGCATTATTAATAATTAATATATATAAAATAGTACACTACTGCTGATAATAACATTATCATAAAAATACTAACAGATATTTTTCTTATTATTATTATTATTATTAATATTATTGTTGTTACACCAATAATAGATTAATAGATTATTTTAAAAATACTACATAAATAATACAAATATAATAATAATAATAATAACAAACATAAATGTTTAACAACCCTTGCTTATTATTATTTTCATTGTTAAATAACAACAGTGAATGTTTTGTGATATAAACAATTAGTTTATTATTATTATTATTGTTGTTATTATTATTATTGTTATTTTTATTATTATTATTATTATTATTATTATTATTGCATAACAATAGATTAATAGATTATTTAATTAAATCATAATATATACATTAAAAAACATTTTAAAAAATCTTTTACAAACAGTTGTGATGATAATGATAACTGTTATTATTTTATTATTATTATTATTATTATTATTGTTGTTGTTATTATGGCTATTGAGATTTAGCACAAAAATGTAGCTGTACACTAGCAGAACTATTTTTATTTAATATTTCTTCTTTTAACTTTATGTTGTCAGTAACAGTCTGAATAATTATCTGTCATAACAAATGTAATATATACTCCAAATGTAAGATACACAGTACAAATATGAAAACATACTAAGTAAACCTCACTCTTCCAACAGAGCATGTTATATCACATATATCTTTACAGTACACAATCCACAAACAATATTATTATCAGTGCTTTGCAGTTATGTTCTTTCTCTCTCTTTTTTCCCTCTCTTTCTCTCAGTTATATTGCTCTGATAGCCATGGCTATACAGCAGAGTCCAGAGAATAAAGTTACTCTATCAGGAATCTACGAGTTCATCATGAAAAGGTTCCCTTATTACAGATCTAACCAGAGAGCCTGGCAAAACTCCATCCGCCACAACCTCTCTCTCAACAGCTGCTTTATAAAGGTAAGAGGCTCTGAGGAGACGAGGTGCATGGTAAGAACATGCAGCTTCAGAAGTACACACTAAACTCTTAGCTTCATCAGAGATCAGAGGCATGTGTTTGTATAAAAAAAATCACCAGTAAATTCTTATTACACTACCTTGCTTCCATTTAATAAAGAGCTTGTGTTTTTTAACATCCGAGACCCCTGCCTAAGTGTCCACCCCCACACACACACACATTCATGTTCAGTTGAATTCAATACAGCTCAGCTCAGCTCAGTTCAGTTTGATTCAATTTAAATGATTCAACTCAGCTCAATTCAATTCTATTTAGCTCAATTCAATTAAACTCTAGTCAATTCAATTCAATCCAATCCAGCTCAGCTCTCTACTTGCTGCTGTGTAATAAAGAGCTTCTGTTTTATTGATTGTTCTGTTTTCTCTGAGCCCCTCTGTGTAACCGAGCCCCTCACAAACACATATTCAGGGTTGATTGAGTTCCGTTAAATTCAATTTAATGCCATAGAAGAACCAGTTTGGGTTCCATAAAGAACTTCAATAGATTTCAATAGATGGTTCTTTACAGAACCACGTTTGTAAATGAGATGTGTGAAGAACCCCTCTAAAGTTTAAAGAATTTCCACATGTCCCATATTGATTTCTAGAACTACATGCCCAATCCAAAAACAATCTAGGAACCTTTATTTGTAAGAATGAACAATCATAACCATGAAGCATCTTCACAGAATTCCAGGTCCATTCTAAGTCCATTAAAAATAAAAGTGCTGACCCTTCCACATTTTGGCTTGGTTAAAAGCCTGCTGTTTTCTGTTTTCTTCAGGTTCCTCGCACTGAGGGGAATGAGAAGGGGAAGGGAAATTACTGGACTTTTGCCACAGGCTGTGAGTCCATGTTGGACCTCTTTGAAAACGGCAACTTTCGCCGCCGTCGTCGCCGACGCAACATAAAGCTGGGCTTCAGGGAGCCGTCCGAAGCTTTCGGGGCCATGGACGCTCAGCAGAGTGTGGCGGGGCGGCCGCCTGATCCCGACTCATTCTGCCCGGAACCCTCGAACCACAGGGTCACCCATGGCAACCCACCGCTCAGCAAGCCTGAGCCTGAGATCAAATTCAGCATTGACTACATCCTGTCAACTCCAGACCCCTCTCCGGGCTTTAGACCTCCACACAGTGGCCCTGCAGGAGCAGTCGTCCACCACCTGGAGCCACAGCAGCTCAACCTGCACTTCTGGACCCTCTAACACACATTCACTTCAAAAGACATCAGAACAACAGAGTAATGAGACAATGAGAAATCGGAGAACTTTCCTAAAGGAGTGTCCGCATTGGTTTGGACAGTTGTGTAATTGTGGACAGTCGGGGCTCCAAAGCAAATCATTTGAACACACAGTAGACATATGCAAGCACTTGTCTTAGTGGGTCTGTTTAAGTGGCACATATTAATCTGATTAATGATTATTAGCATTATTGTAATTGGCAAAATTAGCCAATTACAAGTGCACTGTCTTAAAGGAAAACTCCAGCATCATTCAGCCTAACCTCTATCTGCTGCATCAGTAGCACATGGTTGATGGACAATAACTTCACAGCACTTTCGTGTGCATAGAAAAGAACAGAAAACTCTGAGCACATTTATAATAGAAGTCAACAGGCAGATACTCAAGCTGGAGGAAAATGCTGGAGTATTTCTTCAAGGTTATTTTGGGTAGAAACTGCCTTGCTAGATGAATCTTCTGTTTATCTAGATAAACAGGTCACTCCTTTATTCCAGACTGTAGGGGTAAACTTGCTGATCTGCAATAAGAAAAAGCACAAGTGATACTGGTTTAGTTAACCAGAACCTTACAATCCATTCAAAGACTAAAGATTCAGTTCAGCATGTTACAAAAACCTGACACAGACACTTGCTTAAGCCTAGTTTTAGTTACATTACAATGAAAATCCTTAGAACTAAGCTTAAGAAACGTGGGTTGCAAAACATGGCCCATGATTTTTGGTGCATCAGTGCTACTTGTTTATTGTTTGAGTTACTTTTTCTCATGTGGCTGGCAGCGAACTCAGACGAGTGTGCTAACACGACTGTGTACTCAGTGTTTCATTCCCTGCTTACAGGAACTGCTGAGTGACTGCACTGTTTACTCGTCTTGGTGTTTATATTATGTATCATTTCCCTCCAACACTCTGATCTATGCCAGTCATTTGTGAACACAGCACATGTTACTCTTGGCAAAAACAAACGATTCTGCTTCATACCACTTGTACTATTTTGAGTTTCTTTTTTACCTATTTTTTTAGGCCTACAAATGGGATTGAATTTATTTTTTTCTTCTATGATGTATCACAGTTCTTGTGAGAATCACTAAATATTGCTTCTCTCTACAGCTGGTAATACTTCCACAGAACAAATGTCAGTGAAATAACTAAATAATAATTGTAAAATGTAACCGAAATGCATTGCTCAGTCAGTAGGATAGAAGAAAGTGAAATTTTTGTGCAATACCGGGCTGTACAGTGAGAGTGTGAGTAATTACGAATGTACATTTTATTGTACATGATCTGTATATTGACTTTTAGTGAAAAAGCACATACTGTTTGAAAGTTTGGAATCATTTGTCATATTAATCAGTATTCATTAGTTATGTTATAAAATGTAAGTTGAAATATTATACACATACCTGTCCAGTCAAAACGGCAAAAACTGCAAGTTACAAATTTTTAGGAGATATTTCTGAGGATTAGATAAGACAATCCATTTGCATAAGGAAGGAGAAAGATAAAGGAAAAAAGTGACGTTTCTAAACTTGAAAAAAACAACAAACTTGTAAGACTGAACCTTGGAGGAGTAGAAAAGAATCCCTGCCGATTTCTTTGAAAAACTGAAATCAAGTCTCCTGAATAGGACGGAAGCCGTAAGGATAGTAAAACGTGGACACACTAAAGAGTGAAAAAAATATATGATATTATATTTAGTTGTTGAGGCTTCTGTGTAATTTTCTGTTAAATATATGTTTTCTGCTTTTTTCTGATGCTGAAAAATGAATAACTTGCATTTACTGGCCATTTTGACTGGAAATCAAATAAATGAAGGGTGGTCTCTAGGTTTTTCAAAATTTACCACTAATTATTTGAGATCATATTAGAATCTTTTTATACAGTGGTCCAAAAACAAATGGGATTTATTTTACAGAAAACATTGATTCTAAACATTTGAACGGATTCCAAACTTCTGAATGCTCACGTACATGTATATACCTAAAAAAGAAATAAATAAGCAGGAGGTTGGCTTGGCACAACTCAATTGTAAACTACGCTGATCTTGTGTACAGGGTAAGGTGTTCGTAAGCCATCAGGTATTTATTGCAACTGTCTGTCACAATATAAAATCATACATAAAGTACAGTGAAGCTCAGACCTCTTCTGTACTGCGATCCACTGTACGCAGATAAAGGGCATCAACTGGAGAAATAAGCCTAATGAGTACCTTTCATTGCTCAATAACCAGCTGATTACTGGAAGTTGTGAAAAGGTCCAATACATCTTATTACTTCTTATTATGGAATTGTCAATACAGCTCATGTAAAAGATTAAAAATATGTAATTCTTTGTATTTCAAGAGTCTATATTTCAGTGACAGGGTGATTAACATGCTGCCAGAGCAGTACAGCATAACCTTCTCTGAATCCTGCTAATCTCTCTGACTGACCTTTTCCGTTCTTCTGAAACGCAGTCACTCTCAATTTGATCCAAACACTCTATTAGAATACATATCATTCATAAAGGTGGTAGTTTAAAATGGAAGGCTGTTAACATTTATTTTCCTTCTAAGGTGTATCAATCATCGCTTGCTTTTGTGCTGGAGAGGGGACATTTTTCAATTTAACCTTTATATTATGGTGTGACTACATCAGGAAGGTTTCGACGCACTTAACATGAGTGGCATTTAATATAGTATTACACTTGCAAGGTTAGCCAGAGATGTGACCTTATTCAAATCCTGCTGCCACTACAACACCACTCCCGATGCAATTATAATTAAATGCCTTATGCCGGCTTGCAAATCCTCTGATCGATCATTGATATTAACGTTAATATTGCACTGCCCCCCCCCAAGCGCACGTCTAGCAGTAGAACTGTTATGGATCAGCAGGTTTCTATTAACAGAGCTGTTGATGTTGTGGGCTGTGGTGTGGATATATTTGGGTAAATTAACTTAGCATAAAGTGCTCCAAGGCCTGCTCTTAAAAACTGGAGACGACTGAAGACCAAAGCCAACAGCCTCTGTATACATTTGTGGTTTCTTTCACGCTGTTAGCTTTAGCATACCGTTCTTATAAACACCATGGGATGAACCCTGGGCTTGTTATTGTTATTAATATCAAAGACGATGATAAAGACTGAGTATGAATAAAAAAGGCATAGTTAATACTTACTATTCAGTGATTTTAGTATATTTTCAGTACAATCATGGTTCCAGGGTTTCAAATTCATTATTCATTTTATGTTTACAGAACTACTTTTTTAAGCTTTAAAGATTTAAGAGCATTTCCAGTGCTTTTTCAAAACCTCTGTATAATTCAATGATTAAGCTGTAAAGTAATTCAGAGTGATCTGATGTGAAATGCTCCACTGGATTCTCAGAATTGTTTATAGTAATGGTGATAGGAACCAGACATTTAAACCATTTAACTGGTCATTTTGGATAGTAAATAAAATGACTGTGTTGTAGACATTGGGACCACCACTGTAAGGAAATCTGAGTCTGTAAGCTTCTCTACAGTGAAATGTTTCACATCAAACCATTCTGAATGACTATGTACATTTCCATGATTCAATCACGTAGAAATAGGATCTTTTCTTATTTTATCTATATGAATCTGAAAACACTTTTTTAAAGTCTTTGTACTTTTTTCTGCAACTTCATTGCATTGCATAAGGCACCAGTGTGACATTGGTGAAATTAAAAGCTTAGGGCTAAGTAAACAGAATTGAGAGGGGAAATTGGGAAATCAGTGATGTGCAACAATAACAGCACCCATATCATAAATAGCCAATTTAGTCAAATGTTTTTTCCTTTCGTTACCTTTTCTCCATATTTTATAATTGGATTTTGATCCAATAATAACATAATTGTAAAAAAATGACAATGATGACTCTTATGAGCAATATGTATTTTAAATACATTATGATTGTTTATGTATAAGAGTGGCAAATCCAATTATCCTGTTTCTGATTAACAACCATTTCCTTGAGGTCTGTTTTTGCTGAAGATCAAGGATGCAGTGCTCTCTGAATAACTCGAAAGGTGGATATTTACACATATGTCTGAATGATCTGCTAATGAGGATTGGTTCAATAACTTGCGGTCAGACACAGTAATATATTTTTTATTATGAAGTTATAAATCAAAGACAAAATCATCACATTGTTTTCTGATATTGTAACATCAATTCTGGGCATCTTTCTGTACTACTGTTTACATCTGTAATGTACTGTAGTTGTCCCTGATGCATAGCTGATAGTTTACAGATGTGCCTCACAGGTAAACTGGAACTGCATTTTCCTAAATGACTTCAGGTGACAGCTCAGAATAAAAACAGGCATGAGAGGTAACCTTATATTCAGAAATGACATGTTGGCACAGTGGACAAGCAAAATAATGTAACAACCTGAACTGACATATTCACCAGGCTGTCAGTGATATTCAGAGCACAGCCCAAACTCTATGTGGAAAAAAATAAATAGATCATATAATCCCAGTGTTGTAATACAAACTGGTATCTCCAAAATGGTAACTTTGCAGAAGAAGTGAATTGCATCCCTAATTTTAAGTTAATAAAAGAGGATTTTATAATTTTAGAGTGGGTGCACTCATAACCAGGGATCAAACTCACAATCGCCTGATGACAGAGCCAACACTTAGACAGTTGTGCCACCTGGGAGCAATTCTGAGACATTTCTATTGCTTATATTTTACAGTGTACAGTGTAGAAATTAATTAAACCTGCTCTAAGTAAGATTTGGGGATTTGGAGACCTCTCTGGTGGAAATGTGCAATTGCATGCAAGCTGCAGAAAAACATTTTGTATCGCACAAAATACAAAATACAAGATGCGCAAAAGATGCGCCATCACTTATTAGCACCTATTGTGACAAATCGGAACTAGGGCCTGATCGATAATGCAAGTTTTATGGCTAATATGATACCAGTTTTAAGGGGCAAAAAATTACCAAAATTAAATAACCAATAGTATCACCCGATATATCTGTGCACTTAAATTTTGTAGTTTAATTGTACATTCAAATACTTTTAATAAAAAGGTACTTTACTGGCTGTCAGCTATCAATTACAAAACTTCTTAAACTCAAAAAAACAAACTCAGTCTTAAATAATATAAATATTGAAGTACTGAGGGTGGAGCAAAGAGAATTGTTTGCAGTTTTAGTTTCTGTTATTCACTTATTTTTTTTATTTCCCGCTACCTGTTCAAATAAAAAAGTGCTACAACTTGAGGGTTAACTATGATTGTACACACCGAGTTCCCCATTTGGACAACTGTCTATGGTTCAGGATATCTTGAGTTCAAACAATCTGAAAATATAAATAAAAAATTATAAATATCACATTTCATAAATATTACTCAACTGATCTATCTGTTGGGCACTAATAAGAACACAGCACAGATCAACTCTGTGAAGATGAACGATTCCACATTTTGACTCTGAGCTGAATGATTACCATGATTTTTGGCTTTGTATGACAATCCGTTGCAATTGCTTAGCTAAAGTTAGCTAAATGGCTAACACAGATAGCAGTTGTTACTGACTTTATAGCATGTTAAATCATATGTTTAAAGGTTTGTGTTTCTGACAAAAAAACTAAAAAAAACAACGTGGGTACAAAGTAACTTCTTTTTGTATGTATGTATCAATCCTTCCTATATGGTTGCTTACTGAGGTGGCATATTGAGCTCAATGTTGTTTCTATTTAGCATTTAAGAGTTTAAATCAATTAATGAGGCACCAGTCTTATTTTCACACATATGCTTTGGCAGATGCTCTTATTCAGAGCGCCTTACAGTTTTATCACATTATAGGTCTATGCAAGTGCAGAATTAGTAATCTTACCCAAAGACTCTTACTGGTGTAGCCCTGTATGCTTCCCCAGTCTGCTGCATGCAGAACAGCAGTGATAACCACTACACTGTACCAACCACTATTTTTGTCCAAAGATTGAAGGACTATAGAATTATCAACAACAATGTGAAATAAAAGGCTGTTTGTGTTCCTGCACTGACTGAATTAAACAAAATATTTGTAATCATTTTTGCCACTGTTGTACAGCTCTGAAATTTGAAAAACAGTGAAGTAACACACACAAACACACACTCCACTGTGTGGAGTGAAAAGGCTTATTTGATGAAAGGTCACCGACGTGGTATGCTTTATTGGAGATTAACACATGCATGAATCAAACAGTATAGAGTGCAACTTGAGGTATAACAACGGGTAAGCACACAGACCAGCATATCAGTACAATCTGCAAAACCACGATCAGTGGACAGCAGTGATCACTGGCCAACAGAGTACAGCTTATCCATGCCCCACACACTCTCTCTCACACAGTGCACTCACGATCCGGTCGCTCGTCCTCCTTTCTCTCCGAAAAAATGAACAGGTTTTCTGCAGCAATCAAGTAACGGAAACTTGTTCACGCACATACAACAGACACACAGAAACCTCAAACATCTCCAGTAAAAAGAAAAGTGCTATTTCTCTAAATACATGGAAATGTTCTGAATACAATGTGTGTAATTTCTGAACAAATTCATCTAATCTGATCCCATGGTGAGTATAGGAGAGTACCACTGACCACTACTGGTGATCATTTTGAGCAGGTTTGTGAGATGTTTTCTCCCATAATAAATAAATGAATTGTATTCAGACTTAAACTGATAGTCGTACTTAAAGAAACATGGAGCGAAACAGCCTCTAAACAACTTACAAGGCAAAACAAAACAAAATCTCATAGGTTTTACATGAACACAAGCATGACAATCAACACACAAAACTCAAAAAGTGCGAAACTGATCATCGCATTCAATGTTACTGTCCCAATACTGACATTATGAAACAAACAAAAAAAAACAAATTAAAGTAATTCCTACATTCACCAAATGTAGTTTTACAGTCCCAGCTATATTCAAGTGGAAAACATAAATTATGTAGTGCAGAAGCTCACAAGTGTTTCATCTACCCCAAAAATATGACAAACAAAAATGTACATATTTGATTAGTGTTGCTATGTTGATAAAACAATACATCACCCCACACCAGGCTTTTAGCATCCTTAAGGTGGGTAGAAGGGATTACAGGTGTCATCTAGTTAAGGAATACAGTATCTACTAACTTCTTGTGTGAAAGAAATTAGGTTCCTTGAAAACCAGTCTGAAATATCTATTTAATTTTAGTGTACTGAGAGCCAACAAAATAAACAGTAAATGTGTAGCAGTGTTGTGATTTGTTGAGCTTTAACAGAGAAAAAAAGTATTAAAGTCAAAGCATTGTAGGGTTTCCTTAAAGGTCATACTTTCTGAGAACTGAAATTACTTCACTGGGTAAAGTTATCTTCTTTATACCTCGCAGGTTCAAGTTTCACCAACCCACTGTCTACTCTATGAAACTGCCTTGGAATAAGCCTTAAAAACCATCACCTTATGCAATGCAACAATATTCAGAAAGCTACATAGGCAGATAACTGACATTACTGTTGTAAGCAAACGTAAACTGCTATTACAAGAGACCTATCCATGCTTACGCCTTCAAGCTTTACAGAACATTGGCAAAAATCAAATTCAGTCTAATGAGAAACTGTGTCAAAATACAGAAATACATTTTATTAGTGATTTAAAATATTTTTCTGTTTGCATGTACAAGGTTACATTGTTAGAACAGATTGGGTGTAGCTTTTCTGTCGTGTAATCTAAATAACATTACCACACATCAAAATTTGTTGTTTTCACCCTGCCGACCTAGGCAAGTCCAGTAGTGCAGAACTTTAAACTGGCAACTCAACATTATGTAGTGACTCTAAACTCTAAAGAGGAATTCCACTGTTTTTTTCCCCACAGATATTTTTGTGTAATTCAGTGGTTGAGATGTAAAGTCACTCACAGTGGTTTAACGTGAAATCGTTCATTGTAGAGAAACTCAGATTTCTTTACAGTTGTGGTGAAAGGAACCAGGAGTCATGTTTATAACGCAAATATAGCCATTTTATTTACTATCCAAAATTAACGGTGAACCTACATGTGCCTTCGGAACTTTACATGTAGTGTTGATCAGCAAAAAATTGAAAAAAGTTTCCTTTGGGGACTATTTTGCCTCACAACGCCCTACATGTACCCCAAATCATGAATGGATTTAAAAAAATATGGATTTAAAAAAATGTTTCAGGCAAAATATTCTCAAAACTATTGTAAAGCAATGCCTCAGATGTAATGCAACTACTGTGAACAAGTCTGACTTGTTAAGTTTCTCTAGAATGGAGCATTTCACATCAAACCACTCTCAATGATTGTTTACATATTAACCACTGCGTTCTGAAAAATCAATGGAAATTCCCCTATAAGTTGAATAAGATCCTTGCTGACGTTCTGTAAAAACTGTCTAACCTCGCAATGGTTTCTATAAAAGAATATAGCTGTGAGCTGTTCATGGATAGGCCGACTTCCTCCTTCCCCCTCCCTTTCTATTGATCTATTTTCAAACAACTGGGTTAATCAGCAGACAAGGGTGTCCATTCTCTAACTGGACAAAAAGTCATTGACCTTCATTTAGCACAAAGCTGTGAGCCATGTCCGTTTCTTTACAGAATATCGTGTTTCCCTTTGCTAGATTGTAGACTACCAAGTTTAGTGACCAAACAGAAGTATGCAGGTATCAAACAAGCATCATAAGTGTAAAACTGAAAATTGGATGTCTGACCACCATGCCTGGAGGACCACAGGTTACAAACGCAACCAACTGTGCCATCTACCATCTACTGCATGGCTCATTAAATTAATATCAATGCAACAACACACACAGAAAATATATAATCATTTTACATTACAGCTAACTTTCTGCACACCCTTACTCATACTATACTCTGTGCATAATGTTGACTTGGTCATTAAGCAAATTGCTAAAATTTGTTCAGGTTTTACACTTGGTCCATTAAAACAGTATGTGCACCCAACTGCAAGTCACGTACACCAGAAAAGCACTAAAATGATATCAAAGGGCACAATCAACATACAGACCAAAGTTCAAAGATGTGCAAACATGAGAGTACCAAACATTAAATAAATGTCACCTTTGCCTTCTTTAACTAAAGGACTTCTGTTCATTAAGGCGGACCTATTTCATTCCCAAGTAACAACAGTGAGCTTGACATCATTTCTACTGTAGTTGAGTAAGGGAAAATCCAATTTAAACTGCCTCGCAGTCACCATCAGGTTTAAATGAACTCTATTTACTTGGAATACAGCTCTCTCATAACAGGCAGCATTTACAATGAATGACAGCTAGGATTTGCATTTGAACGACAGCTCTCTTTTCACACAGCCTAAAAAGCCAGCAAACAGTTTCAGTGCAAATTATACTAAAATATAAATATTAAACATTATATCCCTTTTTGACTTCTCATATTGTTTTTACATGTAAAATGACAAAGCATGACCAACCACCCTGCGAGAGGCACACAAAAATAATCTACCACTCCATCAACACCTACAGTTTAGAATCAACTGTACAGTCTACTGAAGAACTTTCCTTTTTGAGGTAAAACAAAAACACAGCACAATGTTCAGGTAGCCAAATGATGCCAAATGAACCAAATTTACTGTACTATATGATAAAAACCTAACTGTTCCTTTTGTATAACAGCTGAAGTAATCTGTGATCAAGCAAAAACCTGCTAAAATCCAATAAATTCCTGGACACTGAAATTGGTTTGTCTTCTCTGTGCCTCAGTTTCATTGTGACACTAAAGCCTTCACTAAAGCCTTCAGGTATTGCACTACATGGGATGCACACAGCTAAAATGAATAAACATCAACTTATCTTACCAAAACGTAATCTTCTGTAGTCAAGAGACATTAGTGACATCTGCCAACTGGAAACTTCAAAGTTACACTAGCAGTAGCTCGCTAAATGACACTAAAGAAAAGCTGTTCTTTATCTACCATTTAAAGAATCTACAGACAAAGATAATTAATGGGAAAATAATCACTTCTTCAACTTCTTTTAAGAATGTGGAAACCAGGAAAATAAGCACTTGGGAAACAGGTAAAATGGGAATTGTCTTGTTGCTGCATGCATAACTGAGGATGTTGGTAAGTAAAACATTTTCCAGCTCCTGCTGTTTGCTTTAATATGTTCATACATTATGACAATGACCTTTCATGCTTATGTAAAGTGGGGCTTCTTTTGGGGTGGAGGTGGGTTTGGAGGTGGCTTTAGAAATTAAAACCTTGTAGTGTATGAAAATGTCCAATATGAAAACGTTTCTTCAGGATACCTTCACAAAACCAGTCTGATCACGCCCAAGGGTACAAACTGCATAGTAGGCAGCCGTCATAGTGTTGATTGTGTAGTAATGAAGGAAGCAGAGGAGAGAGAGAAGAGGCCCTTGGGTCTGCACAACTGCCCACTTACCACGCGCAGGGGCCTGAGCACTGCTGAGACACGGTGAGGAGTTAAAGACCCCGTCTACAAGGCAAACATTGCGTCCTCAGACCGTTCAGCTTTTTTACCAGCATTTGCAGCTGAGCCTGCTGCTGTGGCAGGGTCTCCACCAGGGGGCGTTGGAAGGGAGGGGACCATCTCTGCTGCCTTAGCCCTCTCCTCCAAAAACTTATCAAATTCTAAAAGAGAAAGAGACATCAGTGAAGCAATGGAGAGTTGAGTCAATGGTAGACAGCATCTATATACACCAAGCTTTCACCTACCACATGTAGTACTGTGTTAGAGACCACCCTTCACTTTTTTATTTCCAGTCAAAATGGCTAGAGTACAAGTTACTCATTTTTCAGGAGATCTTCCTGAGGAGATTTGATATAAGACAATCCACTTGCATAAGGAAGGGAAAAGTTAAAAGAAAATAACTAAGAATTTCCAAAACTAGAGTTCAAAGATTACTGAAAGAGAAGCAAAAAACTGCAACTACCATCTGAGGCTACATTCACATAGCAGGTAAATTTGGCCCAAATCTGATTTTCTCATCAAATCCGATTTTTTTTGTTTGGCTGTTCACATTAACTTTTAAATGTGACCTGTATGCAACATTAGTCTGAACAGATCACGCTCCTAAACCGACCCGCATGTGCAACAGGAAAGTGCTTCAGGTTTCTTCACGTTGCTTCACATGACGCGCCTATCCAGAGGTAAAACAATCATGACTTCCAATGAACGCCAGTCGCTCCCTGAGGGTTCAGTTTTACCTTCACCAGCACCAAAGGAGCAAACATGAAGCTTCATTGACCGACAGCTGGGCTCATCACCCAGAATGAGCTCGAGCTCGCCGTTAAAAGTGCACGTTATTCGGCCACGGTCACTTCTTTGGTTCGCGCACTCAGATTCTTTAAACTTTGCTTTCAGACTTTTTCTTGACGCTGCAGCCTTGCTCTCCTACAGCTGCATTCAGTCATTTCTTTCGAAATCTCTTCGAACACAAAGGTGTTTTGGATAACTCTCTTCTAATTTTTTGGTACAGAAACATCAGCCTTAATGTTTATGAGGTCTCAGCAGGACGGAACGATGATGAATGTCGAGTTGGATTGACGTAAAAGTCGCATGAATTCCGATCTGTCTGTTCAGACTGAGTCGCACTACCACAGATTGGATACGTATCGGATTTCAGTACCACATTTGAAAGGCTGTGTTCACATTACCAGGTTGAAGTGGCTTAAATCCAATTTTTTGCCCTAATGTGACTCAGATCTGAGGTTTTCAGGGCTGTGAGGACACGCAAATCTGATCTTTTCAAATCCGACCTGAGCCACTTTCATATGTGGTCCTAGATCGGATACGTATCCATGACCATGCAACCTTAATTTGAGCGCTCAAATCGGAATTCATCTGCTTTTTTCCACTGCGCATGCGCCATCATGGCAGCAGCGCCAAACAGAAAGTAACGCCTGTAAACAGCGGAAAAGCAACACAGCTCATCTTTTTCGTCTCGCTCTAATAGTGAACAGCTGAGAGCTGCTCAAAGCTCATTATTTTCGCACCGAAGGCTCGTTTTGTTCATTAGTTTGTCTGCTGATGATGACGCATGTGATTCATTCACGTGATGTTACTGAGTAAAATGAGCGCATACGGGTCATTTCAGGCCGCCAGTTCATTCACATTAATGATAGATTTGAATCAATTACCAAAACGAGTGTGAACCATCATGTCAGAGAGATCGGATTTGAGCAAAAAATCAGATTTGAGTAATGAGGCATGTAATGTGAATGTAGCCAAAGTGTCTCAGATTGGAGTTGGGAAAATGTCAGATTAAATGTGTTTTTTGCTGTTCACACTGCCACAAAGAGGACACATCTGTGTCACATATGAAGAAAAAGATCACTTTTACCTGCTGTGTAAACGTAGCCTAAGACTGGACTTTGCAGAAGTGGAAAAATGTCACTGCATATTTCTTTGAAAACTGAAAGCAACTCTTCTGAACAGAATGTAAAGCGTAATAAAGGCAAAGTGTCGACACACTAATAATAAAAACTTGTAAAACCACGCAAGACCTAGTAGACCACAAAAATTTAAACCATCACATACTTAACACTTATCATTGAGAGACAGGAGAAAATTAAGCTCCACTTTTGTTTCAAATCTAAAAAAAGCTACAAGTGGTTCTGTCCATCCTTCCACTGTGCGAAGACAACTCTGAAAGGATGTGTTTCTTTCAACAAGCCTGAGAAAACAAATTAGAAAAGGGAAAAAACCCAACATTTACAAATCAAAACAAAGAGGCTACTGGTGTTCTCAGATCAATGAACTGGCCACCCCAGAGCTCAGGCCTCGATATCACTGAATGTGTTCAGGATTACTTGGATAGTAAAAAGCAGAAAATGCCATCAATTTCTACAACTGAACTTTTGGGGTGCCTGCAGATTTCCTCGAAATAATTGAAACATGTCCCCATAAAGAATGGAAGAGTGGCCACACTACTGAAAATTTAGATATTCTATTACGTTGTTCTGTCATTTTCTGTTAAATAAATGTCTTTGGTTTTTTTCCCCTGATGCTGAAAAACTTAATTAACCTAAATTAAGGATGGTCTCTGACTTTTGCATAGCACTGTTGGTCTACAATAACTGACTGTAGCCCATCCGTTACTACACAGACCATCCCCCCTCTACCCCATCTATCAATGTAAACCAGCCCACAGTAGGATCACTGGTATAGTATTTGGATGGTGAACCATTCTTAGCACCGAAGTGACACCAGCAGGGTAGTGGGTTGTGCTAGACCACATCAGGCACAGCAGTGGTTCAACACCTCAAATGTTACCATTCTGGGCTGAGAATAGTTTGTTAAAAATATCCAACCAACAGCAATCTTCTGGTCAGAGGCTGACCACTCATGAGCTAGAGGATGACTAGTCTCAACAAAGTAAAATCCTGATCTGTGCCTCAGGCCGCTGGTCAGTGGTGGTCCTATGGCAGACCCTATACAATGATAGGGTCCAAAACTGGGGTTGAAAACAATGAGCTACAACCAGAAATTGAAAACCTAAAAAGTGAACCTACATGATATGCGTTTCTGATAAAACAACCCATAAATGGAGATAAACAATATGGCCAAAAGTATGTAGACACCTGTCACTTTTATATAACCTTGTTGGGCATCCCTTCCCAAAACCATGGACATTAGTATAGAATTGGACTCCTCTTTGAGGCTATAACAGTCTCCAGACTTCTGGGAAAGCTTTCCACAAGATTGTAGAGCGTGCCGGCGGGAATCTGTGGTCATTCAGATAAAACTGCATTTGTAAGGGCAGGAACTGATGTTGGACAAAAAGGTCTGGCTCAGAATTGACATTCCAATTCAACCCCAAAAGTGTGGGGTTGAGGTCAGGGCTCTGTCTGGCCCACTAAGAGTTCTTTCACACCAAACTCATCGAACCATGTCTTAATGGACCTCACTTTGTGTACAGGGGCACAGTCATGCTGGAACAAGAAAGGGTCTTTGCCACAAAGTGGGAAGCATATAACTGTCTAAAATGTCTTTGTATTACCCTTCACTGAAACTATGGGGCCAAGCCCAAACCCTGAAAAACAGGCCCAGATCATTATCCCTCCCCCACCAAACTTTACTGTCGGCACTATGCATTCTGGTAGGTAGCGCTCCCCTGGTATCCACCAAACCCAGATTTAGAGAAAATTCATATACTGACTTGTGACAAAGGGGGCATCTTATGCAGTTTAAAGTCACTGAGCTCTTCAGTAGGACTCATTCTACTGCCACTGTTTGTCTGTGGAGACGTGCTTGATTTCATACATCTGTTAGCAATGGGTGTGGCTAAAACATCTGAACTCAATAACTGGGAAGTGTGCCCACATACTTTTACATAAGTCACATAGTATACAGTGTCAACTCATTTCACATACATCATATACTATATGAACTATGAATCATTAACCACGCAAATACATTCATTAAAACTGAGTATACCTTCACTTGTCACACCTTCTTCTCCTTCGTCTCCTTTCTGTTAAAAAGCAAGAGGAAAAACAAGTCAGAAGTAATAGAGGAGTTTGGGAAAAGTGACACAGCTCTTTGATAGCAGGACGAAACTCCAAGCAGATTAAAATCACTGATTAAGCAATCTGAAAAGAAACACCAAATTCTCTCATTCAGGATCCACACGCTTTGCCCATTAATACAACCTCACAGCACAGTTCACTCTGGATGCAAAGACTAAAGCAAAGACATTAGTGACAAAAATAAAAAATATATTAATGAAAGCTAAATCAGCAGCTTCCATTTGTTTAGGCTGTCAGGCACATTAAACATGTCACTAAAAAGAACTAGAAAGTAAGAATAACCCAGGAAAGTAAAGGAGTAAGACCGAGTCCATACAAAAAGTCAACATCCAATAAAAGTAATTAATGGGCCACAAGCCACCTCAGAGAAGGTGCTAGAATGCACAGCTGGTTGGTTAATAGATGAAAAGCAACTAAAGAAAGAAATATGCTGTGAAGCCAGCATATTTCTTTTCAAGGATGCTTGCTATGCAGCATCCAAGAACAGCAAAAAAAATTAGTAAACACAAAAACCAATCTCACCACATCAGTACAGAGCCATTCCTCAATGTCATCCATGACAGAGGACTGGACAAGAGCGTCCTTTGGACAGAAGTCATGGACAAACCATGGGATAGAACCAAACAAAAACAACAACAAAAATCCAGAAAACATAAAAACAAAATACAAAATAATATAACTTCAACAGAAAATGTAAATTCCTTGAAATTACAGACAACAAGCCCCTTCCCCCAAACATTATAAAAACTATAAAAAGCAATATCTATAATGCATGCATTCTTAAGAAAACAGCTGCACATAGACAAAAGATAAAAGATATGTTTTTTTTGTAGGCATTGTACACTCACGACCAGGAGAAAACAGGGAGAAAATAAGGTATAAATGATTAAAACAAGCTCAAACAATCAAAAAGTTCCAAAACTCAAATGTCAAACATACTTTCAAAATGTTTCTGACTTGCCTCAAAAAGTGGAAAAGGTTACTCAAGTGCATAAACATGATAAACGTGTGCCCCATTCATATTTCGTTACTCAATGTGCTTCACCCTTTTATTGTTTCCACGTGTTAGACAACATATCAAAAGCTGAAGAGACATGCAGAGATTAAAGAGAAAAAACAACAGCGTCCACGCACAAACACATATCTAAACGGATTACAGACTCACCCCTGCAGAGTTCTGCTGTTTAACATCAAGAGTAGGAGCCGCTCCACTTGCAGCCTGTGTGTCTTCAAATGGTGTACTATAATTTGTAAAAAAAAAACAAAAAAAAACAAAAAAACAATGAACTCCTATTAAAGATTACTTGTAATTTTTATGTAGGTTCTACTTTAACGTTTTTTTAACGACCACCAATTAGTACATACACTGATGAGCCAAAACATTACAACCACGGACGAAGCAAATCATGCTGATTATCTCATACCAATGGCTCAAAATAAGGTCTGGGATTCATTAGACTGTAAGCAAACAGTCAGTTCTCAAAGACAACTTTTTAGATGCTAGAGAAAAGGCTAGGTGTGAAGGGCTGAGCAACTCTGACAAGGGCCAAACCACTGGGTTGGAGCATCTTCAAAACAGCAAGACTTGTTCAGTGCTCCCAGTCAGCAGTGGCGAGTACCTTCTGACAGTGGTCCGAGGACAAGCCATGAACTGGTGACAGGGTGTAGGTCACCCAAGGCTCACCAATGAATGAGGGAAACAAAACAGAAGGGCTACTGAGGCACAAGTCACAGAAAATTTTAATGATGGTTACGGAAGGAATAAATCATGCACACAGTGCATCGCACCCTGCTGCATATGGGGCTGCGTAGCCGGAGACTGGTCAGAGTGCCCATGCTAACCCTTGTCCACTGTCAAAAGCGCCCACAAAGGGCATGCAAACATCAGAACTGGACCTTGGAACAATGGACGAAGATTGCCTTGTGCAATGATTGCTGGTTTCTTTTACATCACATGGATGGCTGGGTCAGTGTGCGGCATTTATCTGGGAAAGTGATGGCACCAGGATGCCCTGTGGAAGAAGACAAGCCAGTGGAAGGAGTCCAATGCTCTGGGGACATGCCACCTACCTAAACACTGCTGTGAACCAGGTACACCCCTTCATGGCAATAGTATAACTGATGGCAGTGGCCTCTGTCAGCAGGTTAATGCATCATGCCACACTGCACACAATGTTCAGGAATGATTGGAGGAACATAAAGAATTCAAGGGGTTGATCTGACCTCAAAATTCACCAGATATCAATTTATTTGTGGCATCTTTGGGTTATACTGGAACAACAAGTCCAATCCACTGCGGCTCCATCATGTAATTTACAGGACTTAAAGGATCTGCTCCTTACATCTTGGTGCTAGATACCACCAGCACCTTCAGAGGTCTTACAGAGTCTATGCCCTGGCATGTTGGAGGTGTCTTGGCAGCACGAAGAGAACAAACAGTATATTAGGCATTAGTATGTTGGTCATAATACTTTGGCTTATTTGTGTACATTATTATTATTATTATTATTATTATTGTTGTTGTTGTTAAGACAATAAAAACAATGTAACAACCTTCACATTTGAAAATAATGAGACTTCTATAATCTGTCTCTTTAGTTGAATTGCACGCCTCAGATTAATGCTCTGCTGCATTTTTACACCCCTATGTTGTAAACATATATTACAATAGGACTAATAACGATATAAACAAATGCATAAAAGTGTTTAAAAATAAAGCTATTATAACTATCTCCTACTTTTTCCGCTGGTCAGACAATGTGCCGGTTCTGGTCTGGGCAAACATGTCAAAGTCGTCTTGCGGCTGACAGCTGCTTAGAGAACTCAGAGTGCCACTAACACTGTCAGCACCCACATCTGTAAACACACATCACCATAACATAACAACAGTCAGAGTGCTATTATTAAGGTTACCATGTTTTTGACAGAGAAGAAATGTTACAACCTCATTTATAAAAAAGTTGGGATGCTGTGCAAAATGCAAATAAAAACAGAACGCAATGATGTGCAAATCATTTAAACGCCATATTTGATTGAAAATAGTACAACGACAACATTATTGTTTTTTGAAAAATGCTCATTTTGAATTTGATGCCAGCAACTCATTTTAAAAAAGTTGGGACGGAGGCATGTTTACCAATGTATTGCATCACCTCTTCTTTGAACAACACTCTGTAAGCGTTTGGGAGGAGACAATTACTGTAATTTTGTTCTTGCTTGCTATAGGATAAACCTTTACATATATCATTCAGCATTAATGGTGCCTTCACAGATGTGCAAGTCACTTATGACATGTGCACTAATGCACCCCCATACCACTGATGCTGGCTTTTGAACTGTGCACCGATAACAAGCCAGACGGTCCCTCTCCTCTTTAGCCTGGTGAACGCAGCGTCTATTATTTCCAAAAATAATTTACCATTTTGATTTGTCGGACCACAGGACAATTTTCCACTTCACCTCAGCCCATCTTAAATGAGCTCGGGCCCAGAGAAGGCAGAGGCATTTCTGCATCCTGTTTATATATGTTTTTTCTTTGCATGGTAGAGTTTTAACATGCATTTGTGGATGTAGCAACTAAGTGATGTCACAGCCAATGGTTTCTAGAAGTGTTTCTGAGCTTCTGGGTTTTAACATTTAATACAATGTCTTTGCATGATTTTCTATTAAATACAGGGTTTAAATAATTCACATATCATTGCATTTTGTTTTTATTTATATTTTGCACAGTGTCCCAACTTCTTTGGAAACAGGGTTGTATTTATAGCCTTTCAAATAGTATGGTGCTATTTACAGAGTATTCTTTTAGTCTATTTCTTCAAATTTAAAACAGCAAGTCATTTAAAAGAACTGTCCCCCTAATTTGTGGTGTTGCAAGTGAATGGCTAGATTTCTTATCTTTCCCCTTCTACAGAATAAAAGGCACACTCTGCCTCTTACCATACTGAAGTTCAACAGTTCAAGGCTGTGTTGTAAATCCTGAACAAGGATCGGGATGCCATAATCATTTTATTAAAAATATCATATCAAAAAAAATTAATTACCTTATTATTGCCTAGACCTAATACATATAAATGTTCAAAAGTGTATGCTTTTATGACAAATCCAAGATAAATTTCCTGCTAAGACTATAATGTTTTTTTTTTGTTTGTTTGTTTATTTACAATAAAATTAGAGCAGGCATGGTGGACTCACCAATGCCGGCTAGTCTAGAGGAGAGAGTGGCGGGGGAAGCTGATCGGGCAGGTGTTACAGTGGAAGGCAGGTTGGAGGGAGGTGTAGCACTGATTCTGGGGCTGACCACTGCTGGAGACCCTGGTCCCAGGTCAATCAGGTTATCCTCAGTAGCTTCACTCAGGACCTGTGGATACACAATCATTTACACAACCAAGCAAAACGATATCAACCCACCAAACCCCCATAACCAGTGGATGGCGCAAGTTGCTTTTTCACACTGACCACAAAGCAGTTCTGCCGTCAGTTCTGTTTTAGGAAGGGTTACCACATGTGTATAAAGCCACTGGTCCTGCCAGTATAAAAAAGCAACCTTAGTACAGAGCATGTCCAAGCTTTACCAAGCTAACCTATATATTACTAACCTACAGCCCATCTACATATCGCACAGGTGTCTACATTTAAAAGAATACTCCAGAGTTTTTCAATCTAATCTCTATGTGCTGCATCAATTGCCATGGACAATAATTTCTCTGTACTTAGTAAAAGAAGAGAAAAGCCACCGACTCAAACCCCATAATGGAAGCCATTGAGCAGCAGCTGAATTCTACAAAAACATCTGAACTTCTTGACCAGATAACACAAATTCAATACTACAACGATTAAACTATTACAATCCAGAATTTGCCAAAATGATTGTCCATGGTAACTGACCATATTTTACACATGCAGCAGATATAAAGATAAGAAGGTTGAGAAACATGAAGTATTCCTTTAGTCTAAGGAGTTTTATACCTTAAGGAGTAGTCAGTCAACAAATAAGAAAGTGGTTAACGGAAAACGGCCTAGATTCTTCACTACGTAAAAATCCCATGTTCACAAGTTTCACAAACCCATAACGTAAATAAGGGTCTAGTCATGAGTGTCTATCTCTATTCTCATCAGGTTTATCAAGAGTTGGTGAGAAAAGTGAAAAAGGGATACTGCTGATGAAAAATGTAAAATAAACATTTTAATATGAGATTAATAGGTATTTAAAAGCAATTTATGAAACTTGAAAAAAGTGCTTTGAATGGGCTGGATTTTATTTTTGGAGTATATAATAATAAACTTGCTGCTTTACATTTATATCCAAGCAGCACACATACAAATGAGCCAACCATTTATCGCTACATATCAATCACATCTAAGTTTATCCTTTCTGTCTGAAGCAGAATGGGATGGGGAAGGCAAGAGATGGGTGACAAGCAGTGGTCTCAAAACTGGAGAAAGGAGGGAGGTCATTTTAATACAGGCATACAGAGGCTTCATGTTCAGGACATGCCAAATGCAACATGGGAAACAATAGCGCAAATATACCAGCCAATGTTTCTTTGACATTCGGCTAATGCCAAAGAATAAAGCAGGTACAGTTATACATTTAGATGACTTTTATACTTGCCTCCCTCAGCTAGCAATACAAAATAAAGTAATAAAAAAACATTAAAAAAAAAAAACACAGAACAGAAAGACACCATAAATAATGTCAGCATGCTTTCACAAGTTGTCTCTTGATTTTGCAGAGAGCACACAAAATGTACAGAAGATATTAAGAGCATCAAGCAAGCAATGAGGGGAAACAAAAAATAAGCAGCATGACCCAGAACCATGGCTTTTACACGATCTCTTTATCTTACATGTACATGAATGAAGACAATACATATACAGAGTGACACCTAAAGCAATGGTTCATCTGGATTTTTTTTTTTTTAAACTAATTTACACCATTTTCTCCCTAACCCAAATGTAGACAATCAGCCAAGACCTGTTCAGAGTCCAAAATTACCTTATTATTTTAGGAATTTTATTACGAGAAGATGGAGAAAACGTACTGACCAACAATTCAGTAAAACACTGATTTTATGTTCTGACAGCACTATAAAATATGACTGGCTCATTTCATATAAGTATGTAAATTAAATGAAATTTTGCTACTAAACAAGAGTGCCTTAACGTGGTTGCACTGATAGCTTATTGGCTCACCTGAAGACGCAGCCTCTGTTACTTATTTCATTAAAAAACAAGAAAACATAAAAATTTTCTTTGCCTAAGTTCCTTTCATTAATTCTCACAGAAACATTATTTTATCAAAATTAGACAGATTAAAATCAGCCAGTATTCATTCCTAAAAACATCAAATTATTATCACAAATTGTTGCCTTATCTATAATTCTAAATTCTGCCAACAATTACAATAATGTAACCCACTTGCTGTAGCCTAGAAATAGTATTTTACCTATGCATCCTATTTTTTAATGTAAATTCAAGCAACCACTCAAGACCAGTTGCCCAGAAAGACACTTTTACAGCTACATTCAGAACTTTGGGAATTTTCCCACCTCAAAATGACTACTGAGTGAAATGAGAGTTTAGCTACTAGCGCAATTAATAATCTTGCTTATGTGGTTTCTGATGATGTATGACATACTGTTATCTATAAAAATTAACCAAAAAATAAACAATTCAGGCTTCAAGATAGCTGCTAAAATTTTAAACATGTGATACACTATATTTAGGGTAAGGGAAAAATTATGCAAATTAAATTTTCAAGGTAACCTATCACTTTAATGGAATACAACATCTGTCTTATGAGACAATAAAATGGCCAAAACCACATAACTTACCCCGTTATTGACACCATGAGCAGTTCGACCGGATCTGAACCTCTCGTATCTGAGTGCAGCAAGAGGCCCGTTAATGATGCAAACAACCTTCACCAAAGCAAGCTGTGTAGCTTTTACTATCAATAGCTTTTACTAATACCTCTCGTATCTCAAGAAGATATTGTTGAGGTCGTCGTTGACATGCAGCAGCTCCTCTGTGACCTCCTCGTTGGAAACGCGAGAGATCAGCTCCACTATCCTCTGCTGCATGGCCCTGCAGGTCCTATTCAACTCCTTATCAACAGACACAAGATTATGAATGCTGTGAAGTATGGTGCAAAATAACAGTAATACCAGCTCTTATAGTGCCCCTTTCTCAGATTCTTAGACTCAGCATGGCCTTGTTGAGGGGGGAAAAAAGAAGATGTTTCCTGGTAAACCTGTCTTTTGTGGGGGATGTGGTATGATCTTTGTTTGAGAAACAAGGTGCTTATACAGTACAAAAGTGCAGATATACACAGACTATAAAAGACAAGAAAAAGCTGAATCACCGACCTGCAGAAGCTCATGGTCTGAAGGATCCTCTTGGCCAGGCACCATTTCTGTTAACATCTCAGACATCACTTTAGTGTTCCCACGCACAATGTCTAGCTCACTGCGTAGCCTGCAAATCTGAGATACACCTCCAATGTAAACAGCAGGTCTTCACTGTTTTCTAAGCATATGCAATGCTAATGTAAATATGTACTGATGCCTCACAGCCAATAAGTAGAAGGTGATTCAACTGCATTGATTTGGAATTTTACAATTAATTATAAAAATATTCAATACATTACGTCATTTTGTGTTCACAATAAATTCTTCTGGCTATTTCCAAACCAAAAAGCTTAGTTTGAATTTGGAACCAGAATTCTAAATTGCACCAAAACAATCAGCACAAATTCAATCATGGTGCAGTTTAAGATTTCATGATGCACTGAATCGTTTCATAAAGAAGGGAGATTTACACCCTAACACGCAACGTGAAGGGATGTGAGCTACCTGTTCTGGAGTCGGGTTGATAGGTCCAGACATTTGCAGATTGGGGATTTGTGGGGAGGTGTGGGCAAGTGGAGCAGAGTAGGCAGGGACAGAGCCTGGCTGGGGCTGGGGTTTGGGCTGGGCTGGAGCATTGTATTTATGATCTGCCTCTGGAGCGTTCTGCAACTGAATACAGCAGAAGAATGTGAGTAAACATTGAGAACTGCACTATTCTCATAGTACTTGCATACATACAAAAATGTAATTCAGAAGGACTGAGAGTATTGGATGTTTTCATTTTTGAGTATTCTGTTGAATATTATCTCAAATAATTAAATATTCTATAACAATCAGAAAAAACATGCTTCATTTTAACATATGAACATAAACTCTTGTTTTTTTTACTCTTACTATTATTATTATTTTTTTGCTGTACCGCATAAATTATATATTTTTATTTTGAAAATGGCTCCGAAGAGCGGTGGGGAGCACATAGACAGTGTATTTTTAACCACTCTTAAAAAGGAAAACTTTTTGGTCAACATTTGTCAGTGAATGGGAAGAGATAAAGGATTTTAATTCACTTAAAACCACTTTATAACTCAACCACAGCAGCTGTAAAGAGGAATTCCACTGATTTTTCAAAATGTCTGCATAATTAAATTTATAAGGAGGTAAACAAAGTACTTCAAAGTGGTTTGATGTGAAATGCTGTTTTCAAGAAAGTGCAGAGTCATTTTTTCAGTGTTTTCAAGTGTTTGATGTCTCTTAAAGCTAATGTGATGGTTGTTCAAATAGGTTTCCTTTTAAAGGATATTTAGCAAATTTACTGAACATTATCAAATATTTTCTGCTTTACTAAACCTCTGCCAATCTGCAGAAAACTTAGGTCTTACCCGCTGTGGTGTGTGGATAGGTGATAAGGTCTCCATGTCTGACCTTGGGAACTCTATGCCTTTTCTTTTCATTTCCTCATAGACATGGACCACACCCGTCAAATCTGGACTACTCCTGAAAGCATCAGCCCAAGCCTGAGAATGACAGAGGATAGAGTGTTAAACACTGGTCTTATTGAGCTTAATTTAAGAAAAAAATGTTTATAATCATTGTAGTTTTACTGGCCACATTGTTTGACACATTTGTACCCTTGTTTGAACATCTACTATAAGAGCCTAAACCTGTTTTTCAGCACAGTCTGTGTTAGTCACCTAATAGCCCTTCATCAGTGGTCAGTTCCTGGCCACAGCTAGATGGATATTGTTGTTCAATGGACTATTCCCAGCTCAGTGGTAACAATGACATGTAAAAAGCGTTGCAACACCACTGTGCCTGATACACTCATACAAAAGAAACACACACTGCCATACCACTACCTGTACGGGTCACTGCTGTGCTGAGAAATCTGGTTAACAGTGGTTCTAACCTTTATGTTGATAAACAGGGTAAAGAAGGGCTTTTAAAATGTGTTGCAACAAATGAGCTACAGTTGGTGTGGGTACATGGTAGGTGTTCCTAAAATACTACAATCCAGTGTAATGAAAAAGTGAAGTCTATTAGCCTCAAGGTGCAAGGTAAACAAATCAAACTGACACTGAACAATACCAGTACTCACTGGCCACTACCTTCTACCTACACGCACTGGTAATTTTAACAGGTCCATGAACCATATAGGTGCATTTTGTAGTGTTTCACTTTGGTGTCTCTGCAACTATGGGCAGTTTGAGCTGTCTCATTTTTACTGAAAAAACCTATACCGTGACATGCTCTTACTACAACTGAGTACTGCAGTACGCAATCTAGTTTTTGAGTACAAATGACAAACAGCAAGTTCTATTACATTAGCTTTGGCAGGTAACTTTGAGTATATTTAAATTTAACATAAAAATGATTTAAATGCTACAGTCAAAGGATTGTCTAAGAACAAGTACAAAATACTGAAGATGAAAAGATGATTTTTACTTTGCTTTTCTATAAAACCAGAGACACCTAGATTAGGTTTCCCACACTTTTGTTCATATACTCTTTGAGCATTTCATGTTTCAATCAAACGTGGGTTGGTTTGGCTTTGTCTTGTTTTAGGTCATTTGGTCAGGGACAGACATATTTAGAGAAAAAAAAAGACATTAACAGCGATCAACAACAGTGTTTTTAAATAAAATTTAGATGTAACATTGTGAAGTTTTATATGACAAGGTGTAATTTTGTAATTCAGTAATGTATTATTATGCATTTGAAGACTGAAATCTGTGTGGGACATGAATAAAACTGGTATTTTGACCCAAAATTTGCTTCACAAATGACATTAGCTCAGTACATTTACCAACCAAATTATATATGAAAGTGTGTTACGACACTAAAAAAAGCATCCTCTATGCATTATTCAAAAAATGTTCAAAATTCACTGATGAACATGCCTGCAGTCGCAAACACTCCCAATCACAGATCTGATCACAGATCCGTGCCCGTGTCACTGCAGTGCTGCTCTGTGGTGGTCCTGAGGGGGTCCTGACCATTGATGAATGGGGCAAAGGGGACTGACAAATTATGCAAACAGATGGACTACAGTCTGTAATTATACAACGTTATAAAAGTTATATGGTAAGTGGACCTGATAAAATGGAAAAAGAGAGTAGATACAATGTAAGTGTGCCTAATAAAGCGGCCAGTGAGTATTGCAGTATGTGCACATCAGGACTTTGACTGGACATCCATAAAAAACAGAACAGTAATAAAATATGTAAACTAAAATATGTAAAGTATTAATGTATTGTTGCAGGACAGAATACACAGGACAACAGGACTAAGGTGTGGTCATCAGATATAGTGAGAGGTGCGGGTGATGTATAGTGAAGATAAAGTCCAAGTAAGGTAGAATTACTATAGGGCAGGAGTGTATGATCTAGAATGCAACAGTAATATGAATGAGGTAGAAGCACACAGTCTTAGACATTCTGACAACCTCTCATTTCAGTATAATGGCAACACAATAGTGCAAGAACATAAAAACATGATGTAAGAATAACATAATGTAAGCTATCATTATAAAGCCCTGTGACACTGAATATTCCTGTTAATACTGTTAGCAGAGAATATATGGAATCTTAATCATTGCTATTTGAACACCATTCCACACAGTTAAATGAGATCCTGGCATGGATTCCTTCAAAAGACTGAAAAAACCTACTCTTTGGTAAAAATAGCCAAGAAAATGTGTCACACTTTCTGTGTTGTCTCTTCTATACTATTTATAGCATTATGTTGGGTGAGAATCTTACGTGGCTTTTACAGCAAGCTGCAGTTTTATAAACAGCAGGCAAGCTAACAGAGGCACATTCAATCTGCCCTCGGACACCTGAGCTGCTCAAGGTAACCAGATCACACTTGGCAGTTATTAGCACAACTCCTGGGCCAGAGCATCTGCCAGATCCCCTTGACTACAAGGCCTTTCATGACTAAGTAGATCCACAGGCTATCCTCACTCTTCTCTCCAGTCACTTCTGTTACCATGCTCCAAAACACAAAGCATCCTATTTTTCATTCTCATCTCATTCCTTTAATGACTGTACCTGTATAAGGGCGAGCACTTTATCTTGCACTATAGCAGGGGGGTTGTTTTTAGGCGAAATGACCTTCACTAGAACGCCGTCAATAAAGTCCCGGGTGGTGACAAGAGCATGAAAACGGTAACCACAGTTCTTCACGCATGTCTCAAGGACCTGGCAAGCAGAAAGTAAAACAGTAATCTGATTATGTAAGACAACAGTGAGATGAGGAAAACATAAGCTATTTATTAGAAATATCTTCTTACCGTCAAAGTCAGCATCACTTCCCTGTAATTCTTATTACCATTAAGTCTCTTTTTTACAGCCCTTATGGCATCCTTGGGCCTGTAAACAGAAAGAATAATTAGGAGAGGTAATAATTAGGTTGTGATTTATTCTACCTTCTCTGATTTCATTTGCTCAAGACCATGGTATAAATGAATGATACCTCAGCGCTCACTTTTAAGAAGCATCTAAAAATGTATCTCTCTTTAACTTAGCATTTAATTAAAACTCTATGTCTTGTGGGATTTGATCTGTCATTTTGTTATGATTCTAGATTAACACTCATAATTTCTTGTATAAATGTTTTTATCACCTGTCTGTAAAGTACTTTGAGCTGCCACCGGCATGAAAAGTGCTATGTAAATAAAAATTACTATTAATTTTTTTTCCCCTCACCCATCTTCTGTTTCATTGATGATATCACATATCTCCATATTTAAAGTCCAGTCTTCACTCTGTAAGGAGCCATCTGTAGCCTTTTCTGCAGAACAAAACAGAAGGTTTACCACAAATTAGACAGTTTCTCATTTAGAAGCAATTGTGGTAATATACTGTACTCTCAGCACAACAGCCGTTAGTCAGCTACCTATATAGCGAGCGTCCTTGTCTGCGTGTTAGAATAGGTAACTGTTAAGCGTTATGTTAATGATGTAGCTAGCTAATTCTGAAGCATATAGCTAGCTAACGTTAATTTGCCACAAATAAAGTAACTAGCTAGCTAGCTAACTTAGTAAATACATAGCAAACTAGCTACGTTGGCTAGACGCGTTTGATTGTATAGCTAGCTGAGCTGCAGATAAAGCACTTTCTATAACTGTAAATAGGAAATAATTTGTCTCCTCTTTAAATGCAAAAGCATTTTTGTAATTAAAATCAATAAACTGTGAATGACAGAAACTAAGCTGTCTGTGAGGACAAGATGTGCAACCCACAGTGACACAGTGATATGAAGCTAATTCAGCTAGCTGCCTAACTGAATAACAGCTGACAAGGCTACAGCTTATTTTTACGTTTGTTTGTGTCCGCCGACACATACTGTTTAAAAAAGAAAAAGCCTGACGAATAAAAATTAAATGACATTTCATTATTTATGACAGAGCAATTAAACCGACGAAATGTTAAAATGCCAGCAAGGCGACTAATGAGCAAAGCACATAATGCTACTTAGGTAGCTAGGGTTACTTAACTAGCTAGCGAGGGAAACAGCTCGTCTGAAATGCTGACAAACCAATGAAGCCTTACAGTAAGAGAACATTTAATCATTGAACAGATTTTCGTCTGACGTTTAAATCACATACCAATGCACTGTCCCACCGGTGTACTGTATGGATTTCCCAGTAAAAACTCCATCTTGTCAACAACAACCCAACACCGACTAGCAGTGAATGAAGCGGTAAACATTCATGCCCCGCCCCTGGCTAATCCCATTGGAGGACGAAACGCTGGACTTCACACTTATTGGTCACATCTCATGTCTATCACAAGAAAGACGCTCCCAGGAGTCGAAATAGCAGCAGCTGGCTGCAATATGCTTATACTTCGAAGCTTTCTAACATGCAGTTGATTTAAACAACTCTTAATTTATATTATGCCATTGCTTGATGGGACAACACTATTACTGATTAATTATAGAATTTATATTTTGTAATGATTCAGTTAGCTAGCCTACTAGCTGACACAGTCTCCTAACTGCGGGAGGTGTGAGACTTTATCTGCTGGACATCTGAAGGACCTGATAGTGTTTGAATGTGGCACACGCCCCTAAAACAAATCCCTGGTTAATGTTATACTTCAACTTACAAGTTAACATTTGAAAGGAATGCCAAAGACCTGGTCAGTTGGTCATAACTACTGTGCATTTAATGTTATAAAGTCAAAATCTAATACAGATCACAAGGACAACAGATGAAAAGCACTGAAATGGCATTCGTTAACAATCTCTCCAGCCAATATGTTCATGTAAACAGAAACAGACTGTACATATCTTAATCTGACAAAATGTTGTGACTAATAACAGGCTGTGGACAATCAAAGCAGCTTTAGTGGTATCCTAGGGCAGGCATTTAACTCTAGAGCAGTGGTGCCCGAAGTCAGTTCTGGAAACCCCACACCTTGCACATTTTTGTGATTTCCTTGATCTTGCACTCCAATTCAATTCATTAGCTAATTAACAAGCTGCTCATGGGCTTAGTTAGTTGGGAAAACACAAAAATTTGCTGACCATCCCAGGGCTGACTTGGGAACCTCTGTATAATATATATATATATATATATATATATATACACACACACACACACGCTATGGAGCATCTGGTGCCAAGACTACAATTCTACCTATTTTACAGTAAGCTTCAAACACACTTAAATAAACCCAGAAAAAGGAGCTTTCATTTTCGTTCTCATTGTATTTGCTCATTTAAACAACCACAGGCCTCATCAGTCCTGAAGGATTTTTTTCTTTGTTGTAGCACTCTCCGATGACAGATACACAAACAGGGCCCCCGCTGCTGTACGAGCCCGCAGCTCATACATGTCATAGTCATGAGCCCATTCAACGTTTCCCCAACGTTGGATCTAGGAGAGAACAAACACAGAGGTCAGTGTAAATCAACTTATTATGTGAAGTGACGGACTTCCTAAACAAATGACCAAATATCCCTTTACAGAATTACATCTTTACAGCAGCACTGCTTTACTATATACTATTTACATCTATTTTTCTGTCTTATCTTTTACTACAATTGCTTGATTTACATTACACTTAATTATTTTTCTTATCTGTATTTGTTTAAATTTACCATCCACATCTTTGTTCTATGATAAACTACTTTTAGTTTAAACTGAACAACAAAGTTGATTTAGATGTCTGATCACTGTATGAAAGGTGCTATATATAGGGACCATTCTACCAAACTAGTTCAAACTATTCAGACTTTATATTTACAAGGATTGTGTCACTATTTAAACCTAAGGCATTACATCAGACAGTAATAAGTCAAATACATACCAAATGTTTATTTATAGGGTACTTTCTATCGGGAGGTGGCTGTTCCAAACCCTAACTCCTAAATTAAAAAAAAAAAAAACATCCTCTTTTGTGTGCTTTAAAATACAACTTTTCATAGCTGTGTTTGCTAGCCATGTACTGGCTGGTTTTGAGTTATGCTCATAATTAGCTAAAACTGTCACTACTGAAACATTGGGTAAAGTTTCTGTAGTCTTATGACTGTTTTGTTAATGACAATATGGAAATGTTAATTCATTTATTTTAATAAAATCAACATAACTAACTGAATCACATAATCACTTAAAGCAAAAAGATAGCCAAAAGTCCAAAATGTGTTTGAACCACTCTCTCTCTTTGATCTCTTGGAAACAATTCAGTAGAATGATCCACATATAAATAAAAATTATTATTGTTCTTATAATAACCTTAGTATAATCAGGTCATACATTCATGGAAAATTTTTATATTGAAAGTTTATTCTAAGGTAAACCACTGAATGGATTGTTATACCTGGTATTCCTCCTCCAGCCGAGCTAACAGAACTGCCTGCTCCACCGTCAGATGTCTGTCAATCAACCCAAAGGACAGCACCACTGACTTCAGTTGATTGATCACATACTCAAGCCCTGCAGAAAAATTCAAAGACTCAGTATATTATTCGATGCTAGTGATTTTGACTGGACAAACAGAACTGTACATTATTTAAAACACAGCAACCAGACAAACCTCTATTTAACTGCAAGAGCAAAAAATGTGCTGCAGTTCATCTGCTACAACATGATTGATATTATATACATAACAAGAATAAAGCTATATCAGAAGAAAGCCATATTAATTTGTTAACAAAAAACCTACCAAGGCAAGTAAAAAAAACAAAGTTGTGTTAGCTAAATATGTTAAACCTGAGAATTATTGGTTCAATTGCCAGGTGCTCATCACTGAGCTCACAGTGAGGAATCACAAGAGAATTTTTATGTTCCCATGGAATATTCTTTTAACCGATGTTGCTATTCTTGACTACAAAATATCACATTCATATTTTAAAGATTAAAGTCTGACATTTTTTAGAAACTACAATTTAACAACTGACTGAAACCCAATGTATAAATGGTACTCTTCAATACCTATTAGAGACCAGAAGTTATAAGAATCAAGATGCTGACGAAATGTTTCCTTCGTCTCCTCTGGGATCTGAGGGCCCATTATACTAAAGGATGAACCAATAACGACACTGTACCTACAGAAATAAATTTTGATTAGCCAGGTTCTGTAAAAAAATGCATATAGCTCATGGGTAAAGACTTATTCACAGTTCAGAGGGTGTTTACACATTTTACCTTTTTTCAATCCAGTCCAGAACAGGGTCCCATTCATTTTTCTGAAGTTCTACAAGTCCTGGAGGTTCTTCTACTCTGTAACTAAAGAAACATGGAGGTCAGAATTAACACTTTGTTTAAATTAGTATCAGCCTGACTATCACTTCTAGAGCTGGTACAAATAGCAAATCAGGAAATATTGATATTTTCATTCTTAAAATACCACAAGTACTGTAGTGTACAGTAACGTTCAATATATACACACATCCGCCAGAGGGGGGCAGCAGTTGTGTGTATTGTTTATCAATGCACTGATAATTAACATCACATATCGCTGCTGCGGAGCTGCAGCTCGGGACTCAGTGATTGATTTATTGAGCAGAATGGGTTGTTACTCAGTATCTGTGTCTTTGAGCAACATTGGTTCAAAGAAGAAAAAATGGTAATTCAGTCACCATTCCTGCTCAACAAATCCATTTCTTCTTACTATTCATCTTCCTCCCACGAGAGTTTAATAAAAAAAGGGCATCAAAGCAAAACTTTTGGTGCGTTAAAATTGCATCCACTTGTTTCAGCCGTAAAAACTGACTCATAGGAAAAGACCTCAATATGACTAAGCTCATCATGCACCGTCGTGCCAGGAAATGTTCATTAAAAACAATGGTTTTGAATTTTTGGACACGGCATAACATGATGTGGTGTGTCCAGAGAGCGGTGACCTTAAATTTTTTTAATTTTAAAAAACCCAAAAATGTAATCTGTAAATAAGACTATGTACCAGTGAGCCAGTGGCCTAGATGTTTCTGGCTCTGCCTGTATAATAGGGACCATCTACTCTGGTCCTGGAGCACAAGACTCCAGCACAGTTTGATAGTTTCCCTGCTCAAAAAAACTGAATCAACACGGTGGTTTACAACAAGGTTAGCAGGCGTGTTACAGTATGGATTCTGTTTTGGGGGAACTAGAAAATGTCAAAGTGTCATTAGGCAATTATTTAAGTTCATCATACCAAACGGTGTCAGTGTCCAGAAACTTCAGTGCAGCAGAGATGATCTGATCCTTGTTCCGCTGTGTTGGATTATCAAGGGCTGTGTTGCACAGAGTGGTCTACAGCAAAAAACATAACATCAAATCAAAAATAAAACATTACAATTAACCAGAAACAAAGTCAATCCCTAACTTTAATCAAAGTATCTTACTAGATGCATCGTGTAGAACTTCAGTGTGTCCTTCTGAGCATCCCATTCTGTTGCTACAGCTATAGCAAGGGCTTCATTTGGTACAGTGAAGAGTTTTCCCCCTGGAGTCTTCAGCTTCCTCCTGTCAAGATTTATTTCATAAAGGCCTCCTGCAGGTCGCAATAGCGAACAATGAATTGCACTGTATCTACACACATTGTCCATTTTATCAAGTCAACTTTGTGCAACCTCAATTAAAGATTGCAGTCTACAGGTCTCTGCATAATTTGTTAACCTTTCTTTATCCTGTTTATCAGTGGTTAGGACCCCCCACCAACACCCACTAAGTAGGTATTATTTGTGTAATGGATCATTCTCAGCACTGCAGTGACACTGATGTGGTGGTGGCATGTTAGCGTGTGTTGTGCTAGTACAAGCGAATCAGACACAGCAGTGCTTCTGGAGTTTTCAGACACTGTATCCACTCATCGTTCGCTCTATTAGACACACATACCTTGCTGTTTCATCTAGTAGATGTAAAGACAGAGACAGTACCTCATCTGTTGGTGCACATTTTGTGTTAGTCATCCTCTGGTCCAGGGGTGCGCAATCCTGGTCCTGCAGAGTTTAGTTCCAACCCCTTATCCAGACAATGAAGGCCTTTATGAGCATCAGAATATGTGTAGATCTCCAGGGCCAGAATTGGGCACCCCTGATCTAGTCCTTCATCAGCGGTCACAGGACATTGCCGGCAGGACACTGTTGGCTGGATATTTTAGGTTGGTGGATTTATTCTCAGTCTAGAAGTGACACAGAGGTGTTTAACAACTCCAGCACTGCTGTGTCTGATCCACCCTACGCAGCACACACACACTACCATGTCAGTGACACTGCACTGATGAGAATGATCCACCACCCAAATAACACCTGCTCAAATCAGTGGTAGTCCTGAGGGGGTCCTGACTGATAATGAATCAGGTAAATGAAACCTAACAATTTTTTGCAGAGAAACAGATGAACTACAATCTGTAACCGAAGAACTACAAAGAATACTTGACAAAATAAACACTGAGTGTAGATGTTAATTAAATGAAAAGCAAGTGGTGCAGGAAGAGCCGCCAACGACAAAACATAGATGTATGCGAGGCGTACGTATTTTGATATTCACTAAAACACTAGGTAAAATAGTAATGTTTTTTTCATAAGTGTATGGAACTAAAAGCGCCATTATTGGCGGATGCTTACCTTCACCTTGAGAGATTGTGACATCCCGATAAAATTTCTTACGCTCTGCAAAAGACCATTTAAGATGACTTTAGAAATGTAAGTTAATAATTAAAATGCAGCTTTGCAACAGTGTAGGTTACTAGTTAACTAGCTAGCGTTAACTAGCTAGTTCATGTGATTTCATCATTAACGGTGACCGTACCTGATGTAGCACTGCCGTATTTTGCCCTTTGCACGTGTGTAGATGAACTTAACAACTTTAACTCTACTTGACGACTAATAAGAGGCAAAAGAGCCCGACTGAACTGTCGATGGTATCTACATAAACTCGGTAACATGGTAAATGTAAATGTGCCGGATAATAACTAATTTTCGCAGCAATTAGCAAACGTTAACACTGGGGGCGCAACGTTAGCAAGCGAGCTAACAACTGATTTAGCCACACAACAGTGTCGCATGGGAGACTTCAGGCTCTTCAGCGCAGCAGCGCAAATAAACAGCTTATAAAATTAATTCAAAAAATCTTACAACTCTAACTCAGGACTTACGTGCTGACCTTTCTCTCAAACTGACACACAGGAAGCTAGACATTTTCACACAAAATATTCTTTTCAAAATAAAAGTCCCGTGTCCGCCAAACCCAAGCGTTTATAGCGCAAATCTTAAGTCAATCCATTATTCACCACCAGGGGGCGCTAAAACTCCTCTTTAGTCGCATTTTGTTTTACCAAGTTTTCTTTGGGACCGTATGAATTCATGGCGGAGGGGTACATGCATGGTGTTGTGAGGCAAAATGGTCCCAAAAGAAAACATTTGTTTAGATCTATCATTATTTTACCATTTTCTACATTAGATATAAAATTTAGAAGACGCGTGGAGGTTCACTGGTAGTTTTGGGATATCAAATAAAAAGGTTATATTTTTGTTGTAGAAATCCCGACCCCTGGTTCCTATCACCACCACTGTAAAAGTTTCTTTTGGTAAGTTTATTTACAATGAAACATTTCACATTAAACAACTGAGCGACTTTGTTTTACATCTCAGTGACTGAAAACAGAAATGTTGAAAACATCTCCTGCAAGTTATAAGAGCGAGGCATAGAAATCTGGCTTTTCGAAGAGTTAAAGTCCTAACAGCTGACTCGTTTTTCCACTGGGAGGTAGCAAAAATGCACTTGGTAATAGAAAATACTTTTTAATCTTAAGAAAATGTTGTAAGAGCTTCTTGTTCAGTTTCAATCCATAAGTCTATGTTTCTGGAGTGTACAATAATTGAGATATGACAACCGATCATCTCGGTTTTAGATGGATATGAAGAACGTGTCTGTAGACGCTAAGCTACATTCACATGATGTCTTTTGCTGTAGAGCGGTTGCACAAGACACAAAAACTCTTTTTAACTCACAGGGAAGGTCACCACCAGCCGTAGGCTTCCACCTCGTGGTGACCAACCCCCGACACAAAATAAAACAATAAACATGTTGACGTACTTTAACTTAAAAACAGCAACATTAATAACATTTAAGTCCCATTTCACAGTGAGCGCCCAGCTCCCATGAGCCTCTTTGGCAGCGTGAGCCAGCAGCGGGACGCTACAATATGTTTTGAAGCTCAAAAGCGGGGAAAAAACGTAATTGACACAAACCAGACAACTTCAAGACATGTTCCAGTATAGCTTGTTTGTTATTCTTATAATAGTAACACCCTTTTGCTGACAGTAGCTAATGTCTAGCTCTCAGTTCCATATTGCTCAATGGCTTTCTCTCCACCGTCCCAAACATAACACAGACTGCTCACTCACTCACTCAGAAGTGTGAGGTGTAATGAGTATAAAAACAGAATCAGTGCAATCAGCCAGCATTAGCTAAGCTATCATTAGTAAGTATCACATAAGTTTAAATACTAGTAAACACTAGTAAAAACACTGAGATCATTTGCAATGGCATGCACAGAAATGATAACATGATGACTCAAGGCTACAGCTATTAGCTCATGATGGCTCAACTTAGTATAGTTTGTTTACATTTACATTTACAGCATTTAGCAGACGCTCTTATCCAGAGCGACTTACAAAAAGTGCTTTGTCTATCCAAAGAAAATATCTTTGCTAGTTACCAATAGGTTAGAGAGAAAACCAGTCCTGAGCTCAGATACTGCTAGAATCAGAAAGTCATTATTGACACCTAGAGAAAAAGGAACAGAGTTAAACACAGAGCAGTGCAATACAATACAATACATAAGTGCAGTACAATAGATTACAATCAATACTTAATTCAGTGCTCATTTAAGTGCTGTTGTTGATGTTCATTAATTCCAAAATTCAAACATCTCCATATAGGAATGTTATTATTACTATGTTTTCATTTATTAATATAAATGTATGTTTGTTGTTTATATTCAGTTGACTTTAGGTGGTGATTCTGAATATGTTTTAGAAAAACACTGACAGAATAACCTCACCATCATTGGCTTCTTAAAGTTACAATGCAAAGTTGAACTAAGACTGATATATTAACAATTCATAATCATTTTAGACTATTTATTATTTAGTGTTATATTTTGCAAAATATATTATAAAACTCTGGTCTCGATCTTGTCTCATACTCAAATACTGCCAAGTCTCACCCTTGACTCTGACTTCCCTCTAGTGGTCTTGACTACTTGAACACTAGAGAATTGGAATGCCCTCCAAGATGGCTGCAGGGGTTTCTTGAGGAAGCTTAAGAGTGTCTTTCTTTTGTAAAAAGTGAATGCAAGACAGGTCTCAGCTCAAGTGTTGAGTACTGTCCTGCCTCTTTTGCTTGCCAAGGTGCTTTAAAGGCAACATGAATTGGAAATCATAATGCGTTTTCCTGCAGTAGCAGGATAGAGTATTTCCGAGTTAAACATGTTATCAGGAGGGAGCATCTGAGCGGAACGTACCTATGGCCCCAGGGTTCTATGTTCCCAGGGAGTCATTTTCCTAGTTTTATAATCCCACAGAGCCATGTTCCTAGGGTTCTATGTTCTCAGGGAGCCATGTTCCTAGGGTTCTGTGTTCCCAGGGAGCCATGTTCCTAGGGTTCTGTGTTCCTAGGGAGCCATGTTCCTAGGGTTCTGTGTTCCTAGGGAGCCATGTTCCTAGGGTTCTGTGTTTAGCTCATTATTTAATATCAAAATGACACATTTAGGAAACCTGTGAAAGCACATGTATAAACATCATGGTGTCATCCAAGATCTTACAGGGAAGAAAGAGGATCAGATTTTTCCAGTAGGAATGCACTTTGTCTCAGCTAGGCCAACCTCAGTGTGCTAATTATATAGCTAAGTTAACTTTGTGATTCAATCATTTTTTTGAGAAATCAGAGTGTAAATACATGGACCTTTTGAATAATTGCTTTGTCTGGTATAAGTTTGGTGCACTGCTCTTTTTTTGCTTTTAGTTGCATTGCCCTTAGCATGCTAACTAGCAAGTTAGCAGAATAAAGCAACAAACTTAAGATGCTATGAGGAATTCCTCAAAGGGAAAATGGTGAGGAAGTTGATGAGGTCAAGTTAAAAATGGTGTTGAAATGAAATGTAGATGTTGTTGAGGATGTGCTCAAAGAGTCTATTATTAGGATGAGTACCAGTTGTGGTAATGTTTTGCAATGTTGTCATCATTGTGAAGTTAACCAATTAAAATTATGACTGACAACTGAATTTTGTCTTTTGAATGATATGACCGGACATAACTATCTTTTACCATGGACTATGAAATAGTACCGTTCCTATGAAATTATACCTGCTTTACAGAAGTTCCTGTTTGATTACTATCGGTCCTATTTGATATGAGCTATGAATCTGGAACCACCTTCAAAAGTCCTGGTTCAATACAATTGTGTAGAATGTTGTACTGTAATGAAAGCAGTTGCTTTTAACAGGTATTCAAAGAATGCCTACTGAAATGGACTGTTTTAAAGGTTTCAACATAACGGCATCAGAAATGGAGAAGGAAGCACGTCTACCAATGAAGGTTAAAAAAAGACGCAGGAGGAGGATACTTACTGCTGAACTACACAGGTTTGTCTGCTTTAGTTACTGTAAGCAAACCAGTTACACAAGTTGATGCCTTCATCAGTAGTTACTCTACAGAAATGAAACATTCTAAACAAAATGATAGTTCTTGTAAAATGTAATCAGCTTTTCCTCTTTGTTGCATAATATAATCTCAAGACGTCACATTTCCACCACCAATGACTGGTGAGACATTTCCTGTTCCTTTAAAAGATGATGTTCACTATACATCCTACTATTGCTTTCATTTCCTGTAACACTTACGCAGCAGCATATTTGTAAGCATTTCTTTTTTAGGCGTACGACCAGCCTGGAGTGAAACAAAGTGATGCTTGTGTTGGGTGCTTTGTGTCTGAGAGGATGTCATTTTTAAATGTGGAATATTGAAAGCTTTAAGGCCAAATATGGATGAAAATCATTACTTGATTGACGTGGTCCTTCTATAATATTGCATATTCCAAACAATAAAAGTTGAACAATATTGTGTTCTGTATACCTCTAATCATAATCAATAAGACTCTTACCATTAATTCTCATACTTTGTGACATAGTACATTAAGTCTAAACTATCCACACATCTTATTAGTAAATTTACCTACTTTAAGGTGCACCTATTGCTCGCGAATGGATGGCTTGTGTAATCGCCATAGAAAAGCATTGCTAATAGAATAGGACACACTGGAGCGCCTCCAGATAAGCAATGTGGGCGGCATGGTGGTGCACTTGGTAGCGCTGTCGCCTCACAGCAAGAGGGGCCTGGTGCTGTTCCCTGGCTGGGCAACCAGGGTCCTTTCTGTATGGCATTTGCACGTTCTCCCCATGTCTGTGTGGGTTTCCTCATGCAGTCAGGCCAACTGGACTTGCTAAATTGCCCCAGGTGTGAATGTGTGTGTGGATGTATAAGTGTGTCTGCCCTGCGATGGACTGGTGGCCTGTCCAGGGTATATCCCATGTTCTGTCCAGTGACCGCTGGGATAGGCTCCAGCACCCCGCTGTGACCCAGAATGATAAGCGGTTTAGAAAGTGTGTGTGTGTGTTTGTGTGTTAGCCATGTTGTAGGCAGTGATAGCAAATCAGCAAGGGTTTGTTATCTCAGTATTGGACATTAATTGTGGGATAATCATGGCAATATGTAATTTAATGATTTTATTGTATTCATCCACAAGTGTTTATTGCAAAGCATATTGCAATCACAATACCTAGCAATTCAGTCACAAAATGGTATTTTGATCAGTGTCCAAATGCTCCTTTTATCTGAATTTCCATTCTATTTAAGTGACACTTTTCAAATGCCTGCATTGCTTTTGGGAAAGTCAAAGTCAAAGTTTATTTACATAGTACTTTTTACAACAGGCGTTTTCATAAAACAGATTTGCAGAAACTATTTAGATTAACCAATGATAACCAATGACTACTATTAGAAGCCTATCAGAGTAACAATGACAAATAAATCTGTTTACCAGTGAAAACCAGTGACAACTGTTATGAGATTATAACAGTGAAAAACCATGAACGTCACTGACTACTGTTAGAAGCCTGTAATGATCTGTTAGTATGAATATCAGAAAGCTCAGATTATTGTGAGGCGGGGAAAGGAGTGTCTATGATTAAACAGTTTGTAAAGCAGGAGAAACAATGTCTGTGATTAAATAGTTTGTGTCTGTACAGGCAGCAGTATCATCAGGAGGGTCAGTGGCATGCAAGAGAGGCGTTCTGCACAGTGTTGGACAGCAGGAAACTCCACGGTGGTCAAAATAGTCCAGAAGGTGTGTGAGCAGGGGCACTTGAGGCAGATGAAGCTACAGCATCAGACTGCACAGGATGGGCGGTTGTTCAGCTCAGCAAAGAAACACACAGACAGTTAGTTCTGTTAGGAGTCATACATTACTTGTGTGGATAAAAGTCACATGTAATGCCATGTTTGGGTGCTCATTGGTAGATTGTACACACCAGATGATTGATTATAAAATATGATTTCACTCTGGTTGCTTCTTTCTTTTCTTTGCTATATTAAAATCAGATATATTTTTTTCATATTTACTGCCAAGTTCACGTCTTACACTGGCTGAAAAGGTAAAATGTTGAGTTAAACAAATTCTTTGGATGTTTGAGTGCAAATTCACAAGCAGGAAAACTAGTACTTCCTAGCTTACAAAACCATCCAAATGCATAAGACTCCAGTCCTGGTGGGCCACACTTGATTCAACTTATCAGCTAATAAACAAATTAATTAGTTAAATTCTTAGTGTTAGAAGAGAGAATTCATCAGAGAGAAATCATCTCTGCAGAGCTGTGGCCCTTCAGCAGGGCCAGATTAAGATCCTATAGTGCGCCTAGGCATTAAAGCCATAGTACCCTATTGTCACGAACGCACTGATAATGACCTGAAACCATTTGCTGAAAAGGGCTTAGTTTTGGTGGAGACTTGTTCTGTAGATTCTAAACTGACCCAGAGTTCATTACTCAGCTAAGACTTCGTCAAGATCGATCAGACATGCCAATGAAAGAGTGAGAAGATCAATATGAGATGCGAAAATGATCCTGTCTATGTTTTGCCCACATAGGCACCACTGTCTGTCAAATTTACACAATGATAATCCTTTTCAGATATTTATAGTTGGATTATCAGGCAGACTGTTGTAGCGTGTAAATAGATTTAATGTAAATGGAATGTTGAAAACAGCATTATGTTAACAGATTAATTAATTAAATAATTTAAAACTATGCAACCTTTTAGAGCAACCTTTTGGTGCCCCTGGACGTTGAGTGCCCTTGGGCAGTAACCCAGGTTACCCATATGGTAGATCCGGCCATGCCCTCCAGGGCCTGAGTTTGACACCTCAGCTATGATTTGTAGCTGCTTTTGATGTAGTATGCTCACTCTTAAAAATTAAGTTGCCATAAAGCACTCTTTAGGTGATACCATAGAAAAACCACTCTGGTTCCCTAAAGAAGCTTTCAGTGGATTGTTCTTTAGAGCAGCATTGTTCAGCTCCAGTCCTGGAGACTCAGTGCTCTGAACAATTTTGTGCTTTCACTGCCTTAGCATACTTAATCTGATATTCACAGTCTTTATGAGTTTTATTAGGTGTGCTGGAGCAAGTAATATTAGAAGCCCTCAGGACAGGATCGAAATACTAAAGAGAAAATTCTTTGGTTGTTTGGTCTGTATAACAGCCAAATGAAGACACCAATCCTTCTGGTTTATAAATCATTCTGTTGTTCAGTAAAATTTAGGAATGTTACTGTTATAGCTGTGAAATGTGAAAATTCTTTTAAAAAGCTGCCACAAAAGGTTCTTTGAGTAATGCCATGGAAGAACAACTTTCGGTTCCCTAAAGAGTCAGTTTTGTAAATGAGGTGTGTAAGTGTGAAGAACCTCTAGGATGAACACTTAAATTGGGATAGAATGTTTATGTGAAAGTTATTTAAACCTTTAAACATTCTTCACACTCACAGGTATGATTCTATATATGTAATAGAATACATGATGTTATGGCATTACATACTCAAGACACAAAAAAGGGTAATGAAATAGAGTGATTACCAGCAGGATAACGTTCAACCCACATACATGCAAACTCAGCGTCTTTTGACTAAATATGTCGTTCTGACACATAAATGTGTCACAGGAATCATTTTCATTTTGGGGAAGGTTGGGGGCTTTGTAGAAATCTGAAGAAGAATCATCCTCACAAACAGCAGTCTATGACCTTTTACCAGATAGAAACCAAATAATGGCCAGTCAGAGTTTTTAGAATCGCCTCTATTTATAGTTATTGTTAACGAGGCATCTTAAAAGATGTCTACCAGGTTGACCTTTTGACTTGGTATAAAGCACAGATCTATAATCTACCAGTTTATAAAACAGTGCACGTTTCCTGTTTACCTTTGTTACAACCCCTGGTTGTAATATACCCTTTGTGTACCTTGTGTTGGCGCTCTGTGTTTTCCCTGTTGTGTGTCCCCTTATGTGCAGGTACATGATTGGCCAGACGGGGGGGCACTGAGGTATAAGAGGTCGCCGAGCCACCATCTTCAGAGACGTTCAGGGCTTTCTCCCCTCTGACTTGACCTGAAAGAACACCTGTCCAGACCAGTCCGACGCTCTTCACTTCTGTCTGCTTTGCTTTGCTGCTATTGTTAAAATTGTGACTTTACGCTTTGAGAGCTTGGGAAAAGTAGGGGACGGGTGCCATGTTGTTTTGGTTATCTTTTCTCCTGTTTAAGGTAGGGAATTAGGGTAGCCTATATGTCTTTTGTTTCTTTTGTTTTTAGTTTAGTTAAGTTTGAAATCATTAGTTGTTTTGTTTGCTATTTTGGCAAATGCTTGTCCCTGAAGCCATCAACCCCGATTGTTTGAGCTTTTGAAGAAAATAAACCTGTCATTTTCTAGTTTAAATGGTGTTTGGTGTCTGGTCTGGCAGCAGGTCTGGGGAGAGAGCCCACTCTCATTCTCTGTTACAGCCTGACCCTAGACCCTACTTTTCTCTAGTATTTATTTAATTATAGGACTTTAACTGGCCCATATCATTGGAAAGCAACCTTTCCTCTTTTTTTTTAAATAAAACAGTTTGTTGTAGTAGGTAAACACTGTTAAAGTATCAACATGTACCATTCACTCCTCAGTCCTTTCCTTCTTCTGTAAAGCTACTTTTCTGGAGATACAAGGTTTTGTTCCAACATTAACAATGTGGAGTAGCTGTCCTCACAGTCACAAAAATACTGAACCCAACATGCTCATTGTTTTCTGTAGTTAACAAAGTACAATTAGCTTCATTTTATTTGACATTATAAGATGTAGATAAAATGAGCATGAAAATAAAGTTCCTCAAGTGCATTAATGATTTATTAAATCAAAGCGCCACTTTCTCACTGCAGGTCTGTCACTCATTTCCAACAGGTTAATTTTCATTGTGTTTAAGTACAGTTGAAATGTGAAACAGAGTATACAGTTTCTGCCTATTTCATTAATTGAAATGAAAACAAAGCCATTCGGAGTGTGATTCATTGTAGAGGAACTTACCAAGACCAATTTCCTTGCAGTGGTGATGACAGGAACCAGAGGGTGTGATGTTTTTTTATATGTAATGTTGACAATGGTAAAATAAATCCAAAAGGAACTGTTTCCTTTTCCTCATAACACTATGCTTGTACCTCTCCATGATAAATGAGTTGTGAAAAATATTTTTTAGGACAAAACTTTATCTCAGAACATCAGGCCAAATATTAGCAATCATTTCATGCTGTAACGTTTTGTGAGTTAGCTTTTAGAGGTGAAGCCTTGTGAAGTTAGACGTCTGGTTACTTTTACCACTTGGAGCAATTCTGACTTGGTAAGTTTCTCAATGGCAAATTTCACATCAAACCATTCTGAAAGATTTCACCTGTTAAGAAATTGTTTATGCAGAAACTATGCAGAAAATCAATTGAATTCCTATTGCTGAATGTTTGCTAAATCCATGACTACCAGAAGAAATGGACATCGGGCTTTGATTGGAAAGTAATGTTATGACCCTGCTAGAAAAACCAGCATAGACCAGCATAGCTGGTCACCAGCAAAACCAGCATATGTTATGTTTTGGATGCTGCCGTGCTGGTCAACCAGTACGGCTCTGTTGGGTGACCAGCTAAACCAGCACCAGACCAGCATAAACCAGCATATTTCATTCATGCTGGTCTAATTCATGCTGCTCTGTGCTGTTTTATTCAGCAGGGATTGTCTGGCAAAAATGGACATTTTGGGCATTATATCAATGTTGTAAAGGAACATTATGGTTATTGTCTTGTTTTGTTGATGTTTTTGATTGTAGGGTTGTTGTTAAGGACTCTTATATGACACCTGCTGGAACTGCAGTGTTTCCTGCTGGAGGAATTTGGCCATAAAAAAAGTTAGTATGTGGTCCCTCTTGATTGGCCAAATGTAGACATCAAAAATGGTTACATAAGCACCATACCCTCTGCAACCACACCTTGTACTGCTCCGGAGATACATGCATTCCTGAGCCTTACCATTTCCCTGTTTCTTGCTTAGGACTCGGTACTCAGTGTTGGATTTGTTGGCTATCTTCAGAAAATTCCTCAGAGCTTTTGCATCTTCACCATGCTACCTTATCTTCTTATTATAAATGTAAAAGAATCCAGATCCTTTCTCACTGATGCTGGAGTACACAGAGAAATGCAGGATTTTACTCTCAATTTCAAAGTTTACTTACAAGTTAATGTGAGTTTAAACTGTAGTAGTGGTGGATCATTCTCAGCACTGCAGTCACACTGACATGGTAGTGTGTGTGTGCTACACAGAGCAGAAGATGGAGTTTTTAAACAGATCACTGTCACTCTTGGGCCATCACTGTCACTGTCACTGTCACTGTTGGAACAAAAACTGGAAAACAGCAGCTGCTGTTTACACTGTGTCACAATTTCTTGATGACTGGACCAATGGAAATGGCTTAGAATGAATTGGCACAAAAGTCTTGTTACATTAACTTACGTTGAAAGTTAAGAATGTTTTTTCTTCTCTTATAAATGTACTTTTGGAGTTTACTTTGGAGTTTTTGTTCTGACACTGACGATCTAGAGTACCAGGCCACAAAAATAATGAACTCCACATGCTCATTGTAAGAAAGTTGCAAGAAAGTGCAAATAGCCTTATATCATGTAGTCATAAAATGTAGATAAAATGAACATGAAATAAAGTTCCTCAAGTGCATTAATGATTTACTAAAAAAAGGCACTGCTCTCTCACTGTAAATCTATCACTGATTTCCAACAGATTTGTCTTCATTGTGTTTTAAGTATGGTAGAAATTAGAATAATTTGTCAACTAAAATGTCCAGCCAACAGCATCCAGTGCCCAGAAATTTTCATCTAATGAAGAACGAGAGACCTGGAGGATGACTAACACAAACTGTGCAGCAAAAGATGAGCTATTGTCTCTAAGTTTCAATCTACAAGGTGGACAAACAAGGAACAGTATTGTGC